GGGTTGACACACTCCGTTTATAAAAGGTGTTGCTGGTTAAGGTTTTTTAAAACTTCAAACATTTGTGTCATCTTTAATGGTAAGTCCGAGGTGATCTGCCACATAAGTGCGTAAAGTGTGAGTCTGTTCCTATTTGGAATTTTATATATCATACTTCTACTTTAATTTTCACATATTGTGATTATTTTCATATTTTTGGATATTTTTCTCCGTTTATCGCATTACTTTATATTCAGTATGATCAAACGGTCTCCCAAACTATTTAAGATCAAGACTATTTCGCCACCCTCATTCTAGGCAACATCATTTTGGCAAGACAACTTCATGGCCTGGTTTTGCTACACGGAGGCTGGCTCCCACGAACAAGACGTGACCGATTCATGCGCACAATCATTCACAGCGGCGTGGGCACTACATCAACAGGTACGTCACACATAACATGCTTACTAGTGATATCTCGGAATCTTTCCAAACTCTAAAAAGCTATTCTCAACAGGGGAGATCTAACCGATCGACTATGATCAGGTCAGCTATTCAACAACAACGGTCTACCACATGGCTCGGCAACAAACACGTTGCTATGAATGAGAAAGGTCATTGGTCAACAAACCCTCCACAAAGGCCTGTTTAGACAGTTCTTCTTATCTAAGCTTCCTCAACTGTTGCAGACAGTGCATGTTCCACTTCAAAACAAGCTGTAGACGAACTGGTTGCATCTGCAACAGAATTCTGGAGATCATCAGTGTTTCTATCATCAGGGTTTTTTCAGCCAAAGAAAAACCCTAAACAACACGAATGACGTTGCAGATCTCTGTCAAACTCTGACATTTTACTTTAGTAATCGTCCTGACCGGCGGAAATAGCCGTCTGTTATACATCACTGATGTGATGGCGAAGGTTGGCAAACTTGTCGACATTGGCGCAGAAGTAAGTGTTTTCTCAGCAAATCCGTATGATTGACTGCATGAAGCCGTTTACGATTTACAGGCAGTAATTGAGGAACAGATCGTCACATATGGTAAGAGATATGTGTACCTTAATGTGGGTTTACGCAAACCTATTCAATGGATCTTCATTGTTGCAGGTGTTTCTATACCAATCATTGGCATGGACTTGCTACAACACCATAATCTGCTCATCGACATGTGTAAACTTGGGTTACTAGATGATAATACCAAATCGACTGTTTGTGTGACTTCTTTTTTCGAGTTGTCGATTATTCCTTATCACAGTAAAACACACGACCGACCAGTACTATTAATAAATACCCGATCAGTACCCTGAAATATACCGAGCGCGAACAAAATTGCCATATATAACCCTCAGTGTTACACATCACAGAACAACTACAGGACCACCGTATTATTGAAAGCGCGCCGACTGGTCCCCGGGGAGGTGAGGTTGGCTAAGAACGAATCAGACCATTCGATAGACTTGAGAGTTATTCGGCCGTCAAACAGCCCATAGGCACCTCCCCTACAAATGAACCCGAAATGGACAACAACGACTGGCGTCCAGATGGTGGTTAACGGCGATTGAATGAGCAAACCATTCTTGATCGTTACCCGCTTCCTCATACTCACGATTTGACAGCTAACTTGAAAGGTACCACTGTTTTTTCGAAAGTCGACCTGGTTAGAGCATATAATCGAATTCCCATAGCTGCTGACGACATTCCCAAAACCTCTTTCAACACTTTTTCGGTCTCTACGAATTTTCGAAAATGCTTTTCGGCTTAAGAAATGCTGCACAAACGTCATACATATTCATCGATAGCGTTTTTCGAGGTCTTCACTTCGTACATGTGTATGACATTATTATTATTACTATTAATATTATTATTATTGGCAAACATCTTATGGGCGCATAAGTGTTGTGAAAAAACCATTTCGGGTTTCTTCGAAAATGCAATAATACACAAGATTCAATAATGTTGACATAATATTTGCCATATTTGAAAAAAAGAAAGGAAGGAAAAAGACAAAAAATATAATAATGATGATAGAACAACTATAAATCAAGTTCTGTGTAATTGAGAAGAATATTGAGTTGATTTTAAAGACGAAAAGGGAGAAAATAAAGGAAGAAAACACAAAATGTGCAAATGGTTTAATGTGAACGACTATGTGTGCATTGCTAAATGAATAACGAAGGGAAAAATGTGAACTAACAAATGAGAAAATGACCTATTACCGCAGTTATATGCGGCAGTAGAATAAATGTTTATGCAACAATGGTTTGCGGTGACGCTATGGAGGTCTAAAATATATATATATTGAAGATAGAATGAATTCGGGAAGTTAATTTTATTGGAACACAAGATATTGTCCTGATAAAAACTTTGAATACTTAAGAATAATATATAAGAACTCTCGTCTAAATTAGAACGAATAGTTTCACAGTATTTGAGCGCCGAGTTGAAGTAAGACATTAAATAGGAATAATATATTTGTAAAGTCTCAGCGAATGAATTTTTTAAATTAAATCCAACGTTTCGCCTGGCAATCTGGTCCAAGCTTTTTCAAGGACTTATAATCAAACATCAAAATTATCGAATATAAATAGGTACATGGTTCTCCGAGTTCATTATACACTGAATAGGTCATCCAATCAACGTTAACAATAGTCTAAACTAGGTATGTTTAAGAGATATGTGATGTGTAGTGAAGAGCGTTCATATAACATATTGTGATGTGAAGTGATGAGTGTTCATATAACATATTGTATAGAAAAAAAACGTAAGAGGTGAAAGGAGAAAATTACATTCACCTTCATATATTGTCTCTTATCAATGAATTTATAAGGAAACATACAATTTGTAATATATATGATATGAATCATTCTGTCACTATATGTATAACATGAAGATAATTAAAACAAAATAAAATAAAAATAAAAGAGTGAGATTTGAAGAACGTAATTTTAAATCGGCACACCCACACTCAACCAAAGTGACAGTAGTCAAAAATATGATTACAAGAGCTCAAAAACTTGTCACTGAACCAAATGATATGAAAACGGAAATAAATTTAATTACATCTACCTTAATTAAGAACAATTATCCAAAAGATTTTATTAAAAGAATAATTAAGAATGAAAGAAAAGACGACATTGTTAATACAAAAAGATTACAGAAAAAGGAATGGGTTAACACAGTAGTGATCACATATCGTAAAAGAATTTCGGAAGATATTCGAAGAATCTTAAATAATCAAAATTAGTAAGGATTAAAGATCCAATACATAAAGAAGAACAACAAAATTGTGTCTATGAAATCAAATGTAAGGATTGTAATGCAACGTATGTAGGTGAAACATCAAGACAACTGAATGTGAGGGTGAAGGAACACAAACAATGTTTGAAACATATTCCTAAATCCTCAGATGATGTAAGGAAATTGGAGAACAAATCAGCGATAGCATTACATTCGTTAGAATCAGGTCATACAATTGATTTCGATGGCACAAGAATCCTTCAAAAAGCTTTTAATTCTTACAAGGAGAGACAAACAGCTGAAGCCCTATACATTTGGGCTAATCCAAACAATATTAATAGGAGGGATGGAATACAATTAGCAGTACCATGGCAGCTAATCATTAATAAGTAACAACCTGAACTCCTTAATGTTTTTATCTAATTCGTATTATCTAAAATGACAATTTACACTCAATGATTCTAATCTGTTGTCCTATCGGAATAAGTTAAACAAACATTAAAAATGACACATACATACAGTCAAAATTACGTTCTTCAAATCTCACTCTTTTATTTTTATTTTATTTTGTTTTAATTATCTTCATGTTATACATATAGTGACAGAATGATTCATATCATATATATTACAAATTGTATGTTTCCTTATAAATTCATTGATAAGAGACAATATATGAAGGTGAATGTAATTTTCTCCTTTCACCTCTTACGTTTTTTTTCTATACAATATGTTATATGAACACTCATCACTTCACATCACAATATGTTATATGAACGCTCTTCACTACACATCACATATCTCTTAAACATACCTAGTTTAGACTATTGTTAACGTTGATTGGATGACCTATTCAGTGTATAATGAACTCGGAGAACCATGTACCTATTTATATTCGATAATTTTGATGTTTGATTATAAGTCCTTGAAAAAGCTTGGACCAGATTGCCAGGCGAAACGTTGGATTTAATTTAAAAAATTCATTCGCTGAGACTTTACAAATATATTATTCCTATTTAATGACTTAAGAATAATATTTATTCAGAAGGAATGGGGAGAAATGTATAAAAATAATGATGGAGAAGGAACACTCAGTGAAAGGGTTCAGCCATGATAATAAGAGTGTGATAAACATCGGCCTCTGAAGTTTTTAGTTCACTTGGAAAAATACACGTAAATTTATGTAATAGGGTACAGAGTAAAACTTGATGTTAGTATAAACTAATGTGCGATAACAATTTAGAGTGATGCTATAAAGGTCAAAATTAATTGCGAAGAATACACAAATATAAATTTATATGTAATATATATATACATGTGATAAAGATAAAATGAATCTGAAAACGTAAATTTAAGTGAATCTATAACTAAACACGAAATCATTCTTAATAGTTAAGTCCCATTTTGTTCAACTCCTGTATAATATTTACGTAGATTTCTACTTTTGGCGTGTTGAAAATAAAGCCATACATTTTAAATTTACCACATGTATTTCTCGACAGGTTGCTACCGTCTTCTTTCTGATTTATCTTTCACCTTACCAATACTCGGAAGATTTTCATTATTCTTGGTGTTGGATCCATTTTGCAAGTGAAAATCCCTCCATGCATACACTTGTGATTTCTTCCTTACGTTTTCTTTATTTGTATATGCTGTTAACATTCTTGATGCTAATTAAGACTGTAACGTTCAATTTTTCTTGATTTAACTATCGTTTTTTATTGAGTCTCTACGTTCCTCACTGAATTGTATATAGTTTGTTTTAATTGCTATTATTCTGGCATCTGCCATATTGGCTGCTCGCTTTTGATTGTGCGGTTTGAACTTGACTGGGATCGTGCATTTTTGGGTGTATTTGGAGCACCTTCCCAGAAATTGAAACACTTGGTGTTATAAGATAGCCGCTCAAACGAAATCTCACTTGATCTATCCAGAAAGGATAGAATAACGTTTACCTTTCGGTGCTTTTGGTAGTTTTCATATATTTCTTATCACCTTGCTATTTATTGTAATTTAGATTGGATATTTTTGTATCAATTGTTGGTTGAATAACCGGGTGATAATATTCGTTTAGGTAAATTTGTGCATTTGTATATATGATGAATTACAGAACCGTGTCAAATATATACCTTGTTTTGATTTGAACTGAGACACGAGTGTCTAAAGCTATCTAACGGTTATTCGGCCACATCCAGACCTATTGAAATTTAGGTTTGGATTCTACAGTTCTAAACGAATATTGGTTGGCTGCTTGGAAGAACCTACAGTTCTAAACGAATATTGGTTGGCTGCTTGGAAGAACTTACAGTTCTAAACGAATATTGGTTGGCTGCTTGGAAGAACTTACAGTTCTAAACGAATATTGGTTAGCTGCTTGGAAGAACTTACAGTTCTACACGAATATCGGACGGTTGGCAGCTTTTCCGTGCTTACAGTCCTGAACAAAAATTGGTCGGTTTGCAGCTTGGTCCGCGCTCACTGTTCTGAACCAAATTTGGTCGATAATTCGAGATGCCCAACAATCGTACAAAGAAGTCAATCCCTAAGCTGGTCGGAGAGGATGAAGACAAGGTTAATGACAAATCCCTTAGTACAAAGCAAGTTTTTTCTGATGTCTTTACGCCTCATGGTTCTAATGTATTTAAAGAGAGCTATAGTGATAGTGACGTAATGTTAGATAAGGTAGCGGATCTTAGTTTAGATAAAGGGGAAAGACTTCGGCATGCAGTCTCGGGCACAACACCTAAGGTTCCTATAGTTGGGTTAGAGCTACCGAAAGTTGAATTGTGTTATTTTGATGGAAAACCGAAGGAATATTGGAAGTTTATAAAACAATACGATACTTACGTTGCTGCTAGAGTATCTGACGATAGTCAACGTTTACTATATTTGCTCCATTATTGCAAGGGTAAGGCGAAGGCAGCCATTGAAGGATGTGTAATGATGGAGGCTACGTCTGGGTATAAGAGAGCTAGAGATATTTTGAAACGATTGTTCGGTCAAGCTCATGTCATAGCAAGAGGAACGTTAGAGGATTTATTCAATGATGTAAAGCATGGTTGTCATGACGCAGAGCAACTCTCAAGTTTAGCAATAAGGATGGAAAATTGTAGCATGATTCTAGAGCAAATGAACTACACTGCCGACTTGAATTCGCTGGTTACATTAGAGAGAGTAGTAAGATTTCTGCCTCAACCTATGCAAAGACAATGGGCTGAACTTGTAGATAGATTGACGGAAGATGACAGAGAGCCAACGTTCGCTGAACTCACTCAGTTTGTGGCAGCTAAAGCGAGAGTCGCTGCGAGTAGGTTTGGACGATTGGCTGAACGTCGAAGAGGGGGAGTTACTACTAAATCATGTTATCATTCCGTATTGAGACCGAAGAATGCATCGATCGCAAGTGCTAAGTGCAGTATGTGCTCAGGGGATCATTCGGTTTACGAGTGTAGACAGTTCTTAGCTCTCACGACAGAAGAACGTTTGTCGCACGTCAAAAGTAAGAGTATTTGTTTCGTATGTCTTAGACAAGGGCATAAAGCTAATGAATGCAAAGTGACGAGATGTTGCGCCATTGAGGGATGCTCTAAGAGACATCACTCTCTGTTGCATAAGGGTTCAGCAAAGAATAAATCAGAAGATAAACTGGCTACGGTAAACTATTGTGGACAAGATAGGCCAGTGAACAGTCACGTGTGTCTGGGAACGATCCCTGTGAGGTTGAGAGCGGGAAACGCTGAGGTTGTGGGGTATGCACTTTTGGATAATGGCTCTGACGTAACCTTAATTACTTCAGGATGTTTGAAGTTACTGGGGCTGAAAGAGGAAGAGTCATCAGTGACTGTGCAAACTGTGAGCGGTAATAAGGCAACACGCGTCACAAAGACACCTTTTGAAGTATACTCCTTAGATCAATCTGAGCACGTCAAGATTGAGGGAGCCCTGATAGTGTCGCAAATACCTGGGCATAAACCGACGAAATCAGTTATGAGTGGCCTAGTGAAGTGGCAGCATTTGAGTGATGTGCCATTACAATTTATAGATTCTGGCGAAGTTGTATTGCTGATTGGTTGTGATGTTCCGGAAGCCCACTGGGTACTCGATCAACGGTTAGGTGGCAGAAAAAATCCGTATGCAGTAAAAACGTTGCTCGGTTGGACCGTATTCGGACCTGCATCATTTTCGGGATCGAAGAAAAGAGTTAGTAATTGTATGAGTAAGCTGCAGACAATAGAAGATCAATTCCGTAAGCTTTATGACGTAGAATTCGCTGATGTATATTCAAGCGATAAATCGCCGTCAGTAGACGATCGAGCAGCAATAGAAATAGTGGAAAGGGGTACCTTCTTCGATGGTGGTCACTTCGTAGTTCCAATACCATGGAAAATGCATCCAAACAAAATAACGGGAAACTATGAAGTAGCGGCCAGTAGATTACTTAGTTTGAAGGGTAGGTTGTTGAAGGATAGCAACCTACACACTAAATATGCTAAAAGTATCGAAAGTAATCTTACTAAAGGATATGCGCGAAGGGTCCCTGAAATACAGTTGAGGTCAGATTATCTCCCTCGCTGGTATCTACCTCATCACGCGGTAATAAATCCCAAAAAGCCAGAAAAACTGAGGGTGGTGCTGGACTGTGCTGCTAAATTTGCTGGGGTTTCACTGAATGATATGATTTATCAAGGACCCGACACTACAGCAGAGCTTGTTTGTATATTATTGCGATTTCGCAAGGAGGCAATTGTCATTTGTGCCGACGTTGAAGAAATGTTCATGCAAGTAAAGGTCCCTGAATCCGATCAGGGAGCTTTAAGATTTCTATGGTGGCAGGAGGCAGACATGTCGAAAGAACCATTGGAATTTCAAATGACTGCCCATCCATTCGGATCAACGTCTTCGCCATTCTGTGCAAACTTTGCCTTGATCAAGACCGCTCAGACATTTTCTGATGGATATGATAGCTACGTCGTGGAGGCAGTTAGGAACAATTTCTATGTGGATGATTGCTTAGTATCTTTTCCCACTTCTGATCGAGCAAAGAGCTTTGTTAAGCAAGTAAGTGAATTACTGGGTAAAGGCGGTTTTACATTAAAGGAATGGATAACAAATTCGGAAGAAGTTAGGTCTGTTTTGCCTGGGATATGCAAGGAAGGGCTTGTGAAAGAAATGTCTAAAGATTGTGATGTCATTCATCGTACCTTGGGGGTACAATGGGATTGTGAAAGAGATGTTTTCCAGTTTCACTTTGACGCCCCAGAAAGACCGTTGACTAGGAGAGGTATTCTATCTGTGGCATCTTCTGTATTCGACCCTTTGGGTTTAATTTCTCCAGTCTATCTGACGGTCAAACTTCTTCTGCAAGGGTTATGTAAGTCCCAAATAGGCTGGGATCAGCCGATCAACGAGCCTTATATGTCGATTTGGCTAAACTGGGTGAACTTAATGCGACAGATAGGTCACGTTAAAATTCCTCGAGGCATCAAGAATAAATTAGATGAACCTAATGCGCGAGTGGAATTGCATTTGTTTAGTGATGCCTCCGAGATTGGTTATGGAGCAGTAGCTTATGCACGAGTCAGTTATTTGAACGAACCGCCGTATTGTATTTTGTTGTACAGCAAGTCCAGGGTTCCACCTATAAAACCAGTCACTATACCGAGGCTTGAGATGGCAGCAGCGGTATTAAGCGTAAGGCTGAGTGAAGTGCTACAAAGAAGCTTACCCAATTTCTTCTGCGAAGTGAGTTTCCATACTGATTCTATGATAGTGTTGTATTACATTAGAAATACAGGAAACCGATATAGTACCTATATAGCTAATCGTCTTGCTATCTTACATCAGCACACTAAGGTTGAGCAATGGACTTACGTCAAATCGTCGGAGAACCCAGCGGACTGGACTTCGAGAGGTATACAAAAATTGGCCGACCTTGAGTCGTGGATTAAGTGCCCTACTTTACTGCAAGCCGAGTTCGGTAAAACTGTTACCGATTGTCCTCAAACTGTTCCGGACAGTATTGAGTTTAGAAAAACTGTTGTAAGTCCTACCCGTTCTTTTAGTAAGGAATGCGATTAGGTGAACCATGGCAAAAAGACATCAGAATAGCTTGTGCAGTATGGAGGGATTTTGGGGGCCGGTGTTGGATCCATTTTGCAAGTGAAAATCCCTCCATGCATACACTTGTGATTTCTTCCTTACGTTTTCTTTATTTGTATATGCTGTTAACATTCTTGATGCTAATTAAGACTGTAACGTTCAATTTTTCTTGATTTAACTATCGTTTTTTATTGAGTCTCTACGTTCCTCACTGAATTGTATATAGTTTGTTTTAATTGCTATTATTCTGGCATCTGCCATATTGGCTGCTCGCTTTTGATTGTGCGGTTTGAACTTGACTGGGATCGTGCATTTTTGGGTGTATTTGGAGCACCTTCCCAGAAATTGAAACACTTGGTGTTATAAGATAGCCGCTCAAACGAAATCTCACTTGATCTATCCAGAAAGGATAGAATAACGTTTACCTTTCGGTGCTTTTGGTAGTTTTCATATATTTCTTATCACCTTGCTATTTATTGTAATTTAGATTGGATATTTTTGTATCAATTGTTGGTTGAATAACCGGGTGATAATATTCGTTTAGGTAAATTTGTGCATTTGTATATATGATGAATTACAGAACCGTGTCAAATATATACCTTGTTTTGATTTGAACTGAGACACGAGTGTCTAAAGCTATCTAACGGTTATTCGGCCACATCCAGACCTATTGAAATTTAGGTTTGGATTCTACACTTGGTAACCTGTGATGCCCAACCATCGCACTCAATTTTGCATAGAACCAACGTCACGTTGGTTTTGGTGGGAGAGTGGTGTAAATGCGATTGGCCCTAACCACACAATTCTCAAAGCTGAACACGAGACAACTAGAGAAATAGATCTTCAACATTTAGCGCGGAGAAAAACCCAACAATGGAAAAGCAGGAGGAATCAGTTCAATGAATTCAATTTCAACTGATCAGATGGCATGGATAAGCCTTGCAGGAGTGGTTATTCATGTGTCTTGTCTTGTCCCTTTTATTCATATTGAATATATTGTTCTATCCTCAGCCTGAATGTGTTCACCACTATTTATTAGTAATTGTTATAATACTGGGTAGACCGTGATGTGACTTCCACGTAAGGTCCTATAGATAAGGTAGTTTCAACATTTCAAATATACAACTTCAGGATTAGGTTTATTATTAGACCAGTACTAATAACGAAATAGACCATAATTCTACAGATGTTTGGGAATAAAATATGTTTAGGTTGAAAAGAAGGGACTGAAAGTGTATTTGGTGTTTTGACGGACCAATAGTAAACATAATAAATAATACATATGAACATGCGTGAACTTAAAATGTTAAGATGAATAAAAAGAAAAGAAAAGAAACGAGAAAAGTTTCAAAGGTTATACTTCACTTTTCAGTCAGTTAGATAGATGACGGACCTGGTTGGTATAAATCGTCGTTAAACACATTGATATTCAATAGCTGACACAATCCACTTTCGGGAAGAAAATCATCAAGATTTGTGAACCGGATCGTAGTTTCACTGCAACAGAGGTTCTCTGGAAGTTTGTTCCACGTGATTGAGTAGCGAATAGCAAAATAATTCCGGTGTAAGTTTGTGTAGGTTCTCAGAATCGCTAGAATATTTTTCTTATGGCGCAGATTGTTGGATGATACCATAGAGTATGAAGTGGTGGATACCGAAGAGTAGGAAATACCGTGAATAATCTGGTAGATAGATGCAAGGTTTAACTTAATAAGCCTGATCCATAGTGGTTCTTATTTGAGTTGTTGACATTTTTGGTGATAAAGCCTTGTTGTCGGAATGCTCCGAAACAGCCCAAATGAAGCTTTTTTGAACACATGCAATTACTTTAAACTAAAATACCATATTCAAGAAATAGTAAGATACGTTTTTTGTATAATAATAATAATCTCGATTCGACACTATTGAAATTATTCATTATGAATCCGATGAGCTTTCTAGCTTTGGATACTGAAGATGAAATGTGCCTTTACATATGCATCGGATCATCCTTGTTTGCAGATGATTCTGGTCAGATGTGTGAAAGTTTCCACCTCTTCTATAGCTTCTTCACCGATTGCTATTTAGTTGGTGCCAGCTGTTTTATATTTTGGGAGCTGACTTTTTCTCTTGTGTATTTTGAGGTATACTGATGAAAAGGCTGCTGTCATACTATCTGTGTTCACTGCATCCTTTCTCTGTAAATGTGAAAAAGTGTCCGAATCGTCTGTATGCATTGAAGTTGTCTACTGCACTCTGTGCTTACCTTAAGATGAGAACATCCTGACAGTTCAGTCGATAGCCAGAAGAAAGAGAAAGAAGGAGAGTTAGCGGCCTTCTCTGATACTGATATTCACATGGAATTCACCTGTGAGTTGGCTTTCACGCATAAGTTTACAGTGTAATCTGACGTTTGAATTCCATATGATGTAGACAATCTTCTTGGTTACTTCACATTGGTTGACTGTTAGAAGGGAAATTCAAATTTAAAAAGACAATAAATTCAACAGCTTGAAGGTTTATATCAAGAAATAAAACAGAATGTATTTTTAGTGCCGGTAGATAACATTCGTTTTTAACTTGGATGTGATCAGACTGGCGGATGCATTCGATATTTTATTCAGCTCGTGGAGCAAACCAGTTGGAACCCAAGGTTCTAATTTCAAACACTCAAAACGTTCACCATTCTATATGGAATAGTGGGACATCTAATGCCTATGAGAAGAAGGGGGACAGATAAATACTTAGACCATAATGTCCTAATATTACTTAGAGGTTTCCGCTTAACTCTTATTCACCCTAATTAAGTCTTCACATAATAACTATGAGACAGTTTCTGAGATTGATTTCCAGAGAATAAAGATTTCTAATGGTTAGCTCAGTCGTCGTGATAATTTTCATTTTAAGAGTGCGAAGTTCATGATGGGCTGATAATGATTCTCATTCTCGTAAAAATATGAGAAACTGTTCAACAATGGGTTGGAATGCAGTTTTCCGAGGTTAGTATACATTCGGTAATTCAAAAACGTCATTTAAATGTTTAACGTGTTGTTAACTTAACTCACGTTACTTATGTGTATCTTGTTATGTTAATTTCTTGAAGTGTGGTGAAACCGGTTACATCAAATTGGTGTATGGAACAGCCGTAAGATTCAATAGTAGTGACAGTCTTCAGTAGTAAGGCGTTCTGGCCATTGACCACTAGATGAGATCGCAGGGTTTTTGAAACTTCTTGCTCTGATCTCGGAGATTACTAGTGTTGGAGGGTGAAAAACAATAATACATATTAGCACCTAAATCTCAATTAAAGATACGTAATGCCAAAATAAAGTCACCTTGCTTCCTGCGATATGGCAAGAGGAAAAGTTTTAGACGGCTTAATCGCTCGTCGTAAAGGATTTTGAAAAGACATTTCATGAATTTCCCTCCCACACGCTGAACATGATCAAGTATCTTTAATAAGACATGGAACGGCTCTTTGGATACAGTACTCTAAGTGTGGTCTTACATAGGTGGGAAATAAAACTCGATGCATCTCTAAAACTCGGGAGTTGGAAGATTGGACGATTCTATTTGACTTAGCGACCTTGATCGGGTTATCTTCTTAAGTAACTTAACGACTACTCTGTTTAGACAGACAGATCGGAAGTTAGACACAATTTTTCTGTGACCGTCTTTAAATATAAGATTAACTTTAGAACCTTTCCGATCTCTAGGGTGTTGAGTGTGGAAAAGAAACATGTTGAAGGACATCGCAAGTGTACTTGAAACAATGTCCACGAGAGATGACAGCAATCATGGATGCAACACGCCAGGGCCTGGCATTTTACAAGGTCTGATGTTAGTAATCAACTAAGGACCAGATTCCTCAGTTACATGTACAAGTCTTGTGACTAGTATATCAGTAGTGAGGTTAGAACAAGTATTTTCAACAATTCGCGCTGAGTAGACTTCACTGAAATAGTTTGATGAGGTCTCAGCTTTTGCTTGTTTTGATTCAGCTAGTAAATCTGGATATTCCTGTAATGAGGAATTACCATCACTACGCTTCTAAGGTTCGAAAACAATCGTTTTGAGCAAGTACGACCATCATACGTCAACTGTCTTTCGTAAAGATGTAAGACATCTAAATACGGTCTTTTTACATAAATTCCGGATTTTTCGGTATTCCGACTTAAATGGTTCGTGTTCCTACGTGTTTCCTACGCTTCAACAGCTTTCGAGTTTCCTTATTAATCCATAAAGAACAAGTTGATAGCTTACGATGGGTAAACTGTGATGTTACGGATTCAAATGAAGCCTTAAACTTATTCCATTCGTCTTCCATCTATCCAATCCCTCGGGATAGTACAGTCTCTGATTGCCAGAATACTAGCTCGCCGAATATTGGGATGGAGTGGAGCACATACATATTGTATACCGTATGTTTGAAACCTAAAGTAAAGCACAATGTAATCACCATGCGATAATGAGGGAAGGTGTTGAATGTCGATGACATCTTCACTGTGGTGTGCAAGGACAAGGTCCAACATTGACGGATCACGTTGCAGGTCAATATGTGTCAGTATCGCGATACATTGTACAAGTCCACACTGAACAACGGTTGATAGAAAGTCTCAGTCGGAGGCTCCACCCAAAGTTGTAAGTTTTATCCAGTTGATGTGCGGTACATTGAAATCACCAATTATGGGACAACGTTTGACTGTACTCCAAGAACATATGTGTATTAAGATAAAATCGTCAGCAAGGTAAAATGGACTACAGCATATTTCTCATATAGTGACTAAACCGTATCTAGACTAAATGGTACAATATGCTTCCTCACGTGTACCACTAACATGCGCCTCCGATATGATTGATTGTGTGAGAAAGTTATCCCTAACCTATAACATTATGCCTCCTCCCTTGCGACTTATAACTCTATCACTAATACGAATGCAGCCTGCAATGATGGGAGAAGAATCTATATCGACGGTGAACCAAGTTTCTGTGACGACAATTACACTGGGACGTAATTCGACCACCACCAAACTTATATCCGACGTTTCATTTTGACGGCTAGAGGCGTTCGTGTAGCACAAATTTAAGGTGTTTTGAAAATCATTTGCTCTACGCATGCAGGTTTTTGAAGCACTAGCTTCCAAGACTTGACCACCCCGAAAACCCTTAACCGTAATATTCGTTTCGCCATTTACCCTTCGAGTTTCTAACTACGTAAGGGCATTCTTCCACTTAACTCGATCATCAAGCGACCAATCTGGTCAGGATACGAATATGTGAGTTACGAGTTTCACATGCGTTATTCACAGTTACGTCTCTGTCTTCAAAGTTTCCGAGTGCCAACTTCAGGATCTATTTTGGTTGGGTCTCACCTCCAACCCACTTACCAAGCCTTATTCATTTCACGATATGCAGCCCCGAAACCTCCTCCGGCAATGTATTTCTAATGGCAGATTTCAATAACTCCAGATCATGTGCATGCTTTTGGCAGTCACTGTCTTTCGATTTCTCTAGATTCAGAATAATTAAACTAGGGACGGAATCGACTTCGTTAAAAGTCGTGTTCACTGCTTTTGGTCGTGATGTCCGATCCCATGAGCTTAAGGTTGGTTTTTCTTGTAACAGAGTCGTGGGAATCGAGTGAATGACTCGCGACAATGTTTGATGGGCCCAACATTTTTCCACCTACGACAGAATAGAATATTGTCTTACTTTGGGACTTTGGCGTAGTAATCTGCAACGCGAAATGTGAGTTCACTAAGGGCTCTGCAACAAAACAGGCGCTATTTTTAAATATCTTCGCTTCTCTTTTTTGTTCCCGCGTCATCCATTTCACACTAGCCACAGCATTCACATCGGGATTAGTCGAGACGATAACGGTTTTATATGGGTCACCAGTTGCTGTTGTAGCAAGTTGACCAACAGTATCCGGTGATGTTTCACTTATTATTTGTTCCGATATAGGAATCCCTATTGTGTGTTGCACAGCTGGGTGTTTGGTACCTTTCGTAACGGCGTTTATGACACTGAGGCATTTTTCGCCATTCGTACCCATGTTACAAGTACAGCCTTCATCGACCTTTTTGTTAGCTAACTCCAGAAGGCTAATTGCCTCTTGGATGAGTAATGTCATACTCGAACAACAAAACATACAAAGGCCATAGGAGTAAGGGAACCTTTAATATGCAATGTGATTTAGGTAGGCACACATTTTATGCGACCACTTATTACACGCATCACATTGCACTCCTTCCCCCACAAGGAATAAACAATATGGCTGTCCACATTTGTGAGCAGAGCCGACAGGAAAATGGATCTGACAAAAATTTCAAAACTTAACCGAAACAAATCGAGCCAAAGTCAACCAAGTATTCTTTGATGCAATAAATACACAAAAGCAAAATCAAAACACACAAGTTCAATATCACTTTGATTGGAATAGATTCTATCAAAGTGGAAACAGAAGTTTTGGTAGGTAATTTACTATCGAAACATCACATTTAACTTAGCGAGGAAAAATACCACTCTTTTTTAATTAGCGTGCACAAGAAATGTAACGCCAAACCCTTTATACAATTTCTAATGCGAATAATGTTCTCAATAATCACACATCATTGTTGTCTACGATTTCGAAGGGTACTTTCGGCATTCATAAGAAATTGCATACCTCTTTTGGTTCTTTTCGTGATGTTATCGTTGAAACAAGCAGCATAGAGTTATTTATTTCACTCATAAACCCTAAATACTTAGACCCTAACGTTGCAGTATGACCTACTAAAATTCAAGTATTGAAGACCACGGATCACAAACTTCTCATACGTTTATGTGGTGTTGTCAATTTGCGATAACTTTTCTTCGTACATGCCTCATGAATTTTTAAAAGGTGGAACATGATCATCAAAACTGAGCTTACAGAATTTGTAATGACCTACAGTGCGGTCATCTTTTTTTTAGATCCCTAAGAGGATTCTGATGTTATACTTAAGGATTTGATAACTGCATGTGCTAAGTGGAGTGGATGGATGAGAATTCACATTGACAACAACTTAACCGGTCTCTTTATGACAAAATTTCATCTGCTTTTTCGAATCGCACGTCTATCCCAACTCGTTACCTCTAGATCACAAATTCTATTATCTGGTTTCTTGATAAGCATCATTGAGTTCTCATAGTAAACAGTTGTCGATAAGTCTGTGCACTTTGAATATATTTTTATCGAAGTATGAAGTACAAGACTTATTATGTACCTTAAAAAAAAGGAACAGTGTCTAAAGTGTTTAACTTAATACTGGTATTGTTTAGTGAGTCGTTGAAATCCGTAGCGCTATACACTGTTCTTCAAGGTCGAGGCTATGTCAGCTGTTGAGGACGTTTTTATAATCAGTTGTTTGTCAGCCTTTGTTTTCGAAGGTAGACAATCTTACTGGGAGTAGACATAGCGAGTTTTCTCTCTTTTTCTATTTTGCAGAGTGTACTTTTATGACCGCAACATTGCTTAATTTATTTCGTGATGTACAAGCAACCAGGAAAGGCGACATAAAAGCGTATATTTAGGCTAAAAGTTGACAATGCGACATATATTTCGGCGAAAGGTAAACAATTCAGCGACACCTCAAATACAGAGCGACAAAAAGTGGAAAATTCTCATTATTTCTTCATGACAGGCGAGAAAAGAGACTTTGGCTCGTTTCCCTATTATTTTCCGCCTATTTTCTAACAGAGTGTCCCTTTTGTTTACCTGTCGTTCGCTTTTTGTCTTTATTGGTTGCTTGAGTTAAAGGACACCAACCATATTGACACAAACATCTAACAGCGTTACATTATGGCGTACTTATATGATTAATTCTCTCTGGCTTTACTATTGTGATTTGAAGTAAGACTCTTAGGTCCTTATCTCGTTTCTTACCGATCTTTCCTTGCAGCATAACGTACTCTAGGTGAAGTACTTCACCCTGATTTCCATCATGTAGCCGCAAATACTGTATGCTAGAAGGCCGTGGTATGGAAGGTATTTTAACATTTAGTTATACCCCTTGATTCTTTCATTTCATAGTATGACTTATTAATCCTCGTCGAACGTCTTATAGGATCAGAGCCTATAGGCTTTCAAGTAAGTTAATGATTGTCCATACACCTTAAGTATCTTTAGTAGTCAGTCCCACTCACTGTTTTAATAGCAGAAATTACTTGATTATACTCCTCTCAATTCTCATTTATTCAGTAGAAATCAATCTCAAGGTGGGAAACTGTCAAAATTAAATTTAAAATGTTCACTTACTCTATAAGTCATTTGTCTTAAGTTATTGATCGGTTTTTACAACATACCAAACATAGGTCAGCCGCAACAAATATTAGCGTTTCTGCCTTTCTCCAAAATCAACCAATTCTGTAAATACTTTTTTCTCACTTTATATCAAGCTGATCTCAGAGTCTTAGAATTTCATGCTTTTGGAGCATGTAGGCAACACCAGGCAACTCTTCAAACTAATAAAAAAACCGGAATTAAGAAGTCAAGCATAAGCAAAACAATCTCGGAAAAATACGAAACACTTACTTGCTCTTATCCTGGACGTTTAGAATGATGGGCTGGCCCTCAGCTACTGCACAACTACCCACTATCCCCAGAAAACCTGAATGGAACATCGAAGTAGGTAACCCGACTGTAGCTGAAGTTCAAAAGGCTATAACTAACCTGAAATGAGGAAGAGCAGCTGATCCAGTATAATAGGCTCCAGAGGTCTCTAAATATGGTGGTCCAATTTTAGCGATTAGGTTGACTAATATTTTGGCTAAAATCTGGTAGTTGGACGTAATCCCATCTGACTGGTCACAATCACTTATTATCCCAATATATAAAAAGGGGCCAAAATCATCCTGTGATAACCATAGAGGGATTACTTACTTACTTTCGCCTGTTACTCCCAATGGAGCATAGGCCGCCGACCAGCATTCTCCAACCCACTCTGTCCTGGGCCTTCTTTTCTAGTTCTATCCAGTTCTTGTTCATTCTTCTCATGTCTGTCTCTATTTCTCGGCGTAATTAGTTCTTTGGTCTTCCTCTTCTCCTTTGACCTCCAGGATTCCATGTGAGGGCTTGTCTTGTGACGCAATCGGGTGATTTCCGCAAAGTGTGTCCAATCCACTTCCAACGCTTCTTCCTGATTTCTTCCTCTGCTGGAATCTGATTTGTTGTCTCCCACAGTAACTTGATGCTGATAGTGTCTGGCCATCGGATCCGAAGTATCTTGCGTAGACAACTGTTGATAAACACTTGTATCTTCTGGATAATGGCTTTCGTAGTTCTCCAAGTCTCCGCCCCATACAGTAGAACTGTCTTGACATTTGTATTGAAAATTCTAACCTTGGTGTTGGTTGACAATTGTTTTGAGCTCCAGATGCTTTTCAGTTGTAGGTATGCTGCTCTTGCTTCGCCGATCCTCGCCCTCACATCTGCATCTGATCCACCGTGTTCATCACTGTGTTCATCAATGATGCTGCCCAGATATGTAAAGGTTTCCACATCCTCCAAAGCTTCTCCGTCAAGTGTAATTTGATTGGTGCATTTTGTGTTGCATCGGAGAGTCTTGCTTTTCCCTTTGTTTATATTGAGACCTACTGCTGCTGAGGCTGCTGCTACACTGGTCGTTTTCTCCTGCATTTGTTGTTGCGTTTGTGATAGAAGAGCCAGATCATCCGCGAAGTCTAGATCGTCAAGCTGCATCCTGCCTGTCCACTGTATCCCGTGCTTTCCTCCAGATGTTGACGTCTTCATGATCCAGTCGATTACCAGGAGAAAGAGAAACGGTGAGAGTAAGCAACCTTGCCTAACACCAGTCTTTACTTCAAACGAGTCAGTGAGTTGTCCTCCGTGGACGATTTGGCAGTTTAGTCCATCATAAAAGTTCCGTATGATATTGACTATTTTCTCAGGCACGCCGTAGTGTCGAAGAAGCCTCCATAGTGTCGTCCTGTCCACGCTATCAAATGCCTTCTCGTAGTCGATGAAGTTGATGTAGAGTGATGAATTCCATTCGATCGATTGTTCCACAATGATACGTAGAGTTGCGATTTGATCTGTGCACGATCTATCCTTACGAAATCCAGCTTGTTGATCTCGAAGTTGGGCGTCCACGGAATCCTTCATCCTGTTTAACAATACTCGGTTGAAGACTTTTCCTGGTATTGAGAGAAGAGTGATGCCCCTGTAGTTGTCGCACTTGCTCAGATCGCCTTTCTTTGGTATCTTGATCAGAAGTCCTTTTTTCCAGTCTGTCGGTACTTGTTCTTCGTCCCAAATCTTACTGAAGAGGATGTGTAGTATCTTTGCAGTTGCTGCTACATTTACTTTTAGTGCCTCTGCCGGGATGTTGTCTGGTCCCACTGCTTTGCCGCTCTTGATTTGTCTAATGGCCATGCTGATCTCTTCAATTGTTGGTGGGCCAACATCGATTGGGAGGTCTGTGGGTGCTGCTTCGATGTTGGGTGGGTTCAGTGGAGCTGGTCGATTTAAGAGTTCTTTGAAGTGTTCTACTCACCTGTTTCGTTGTTCATCAATGTCGGTGATTACTTTGCCTTCCTTGCTTTTCACTGGTCTTTCTGGTTTACGGTAATTTCCAGCAAGTTTCTTTGTTGTGTCATACAATTTTCTCATGTTTCCCTCTCTTGCAGCCTTTTCCGCTGTCATCGCTAAATCTTCCACATATTTACGTTTGTCGGTTCTGATGCTCCTCTTCACTTGCTTGTTCGCCTCTGTGTATTCGGCTTGTGCCTTGGCTTTTTCCGCTCTTGTTCGGCTGATATTGATTGCTGCCTTCTTGTTTCTTCTTTCTTCAATTTTATCCAGTGTACCAACAGTGATCCATTCCTTGTGATGGTGCTTCTTTTGGCCCAGAACCTCCTGACACATTGAAACGATTGCCTCCTTGATACCTTTCCAGTTGCCCTCCATGGTAGTCCCCTCTCCGTTGAGTAGATCATGAAAGGCCTGGAACCTGTTGCTGAGGTCTATGTTGAATTTGTTGAGTTTGTCATCATCTCGAAGAAAGGCTGTATTAAAGTTTTGTGATGTTGTCCGCGCCGTTGTCCAGTGCTTCTTGAGTTTTAGTTTCATCTTGGTGACCAGCAAATGATGATCGGATGCTATATCAGCTCCTCTTCTGGTTCTCACATCCTCCATCGTCCTCCTGAACTTTTTGTTGATGTAGATATTGTCGATTTGATTCTGTGTAGTGTGATCCGGTGAAATCCAAGTGGCTTTGTGTATGTTTTTGTGTGGAAATATGGTGCCACCTATGACCAGTTTATTGAAGGCACATAGGTTTGCAAATCTCTCACCATTTTCGTTCCTTTCTCCGAGTCCATGTTGTCCCATGACGCCTTCGTATCCAGTGTTGTCCATTCCAACCTTGGCATTGAGATCTCCCATCAGAATGGTCAGGTCTTTGGTTGGGCACTTCTCGAAGATCGACTGCAGCCTATCGTAGAATTGGTCTTTAGCGTGTTCATCGTAGTCGTTGGTAGGCGCATAGCATTGGATGACGTTCATTGTAATGCCCTCTCTCTTTGTTTTGAAGGAGGCTTTGATGATCTTTGGTCCATGAGATTCCCATCCTATAAGTGCATTTTTTGCTTTTCTGGACAGCATCAATGCAACTCCTTGTGTATGTGGGGCATTTTCTTCTTCATGACCGGAGTATAACAGAAGTTCTCCTGAAGACAGTCGTTGTTGTCCAACCTGCGTCCAATGTGTTTCACTGATTCCAAGCACCTCCAGGTTGTATTTTCTCATTTCTGCAGCAATTTGGAAAACTCTTCCGGTCTCCCACATTGTTCGGACATTCCATGTACCTATAAAAATTGTTGCTCTGGTTGTAAGAAGGTGCATCGGCCTCATGACTTCCGAATGAACTCGACTTTCATCATGAGACGTTATAATTATTCCTTCTACTCCCAGGGCAGAGTTTAAATGGTTTGAATGATTTTTTCTGGTTAGCGTTTTTTTAGCGAGTTGATTTTCTACGGGATGGGGTAGCTAACCCCATGCCCAACCCTCCTCCTTTACCCGGGCTTGGGACCGGCAGCAACCCCCAGAGGAGCTACAGGCGGAGGGATTAGTTTGACTAATATAGCATCTAAAATACTAGCCTCAATAATTATCGGGTGCCTAACTAAGACTCGTGAACTCCAAACACGAGAAAATCAGGCTGGCTTCAGACCTGGTCGTGGCTGTATCGACGACATATTCACTTTTCGTCAGGTTTCAGAGCACAGACATGCTTATCAGCGTCTTACAATAATAGTTTTTCTTGACTTGAAAGCAGCATTTGACTCTGTAGACCGAGAGGTTCTGTGGCAGTGTCTGTCATTAAAAGGTGTACCTGAGAAGTACACAAACCTTGTGAAGGCTCTTTACTCGACCACTACCAGTCAAATGAGAGCTTATGGCGAACTGTCATCTGATTTTACAACCTCAAGTGGTGTCCGACAAGGCTGTCCATTATCCCCATTTTTGTTTAACTTCGTTATAGACCTGTTGCTGGAAATAAAACTCTCGTCAACTGAATTTTCAGGAATTGACCTCCTACCAGTAGGTCCACTTATTGACTTAGAATAAACAGATAACATAGTCCTGTTTGGTAAAGACGCTGACAAAACGCGGAGTCTTCTGTTAGAACTGAGTAACAATGCCAGAATATCTGGAATGCGTTTCTTCCCTCTAAATGTAAATCGTTACTCCAGGACTGGCCTGCGTCAACACATGAACTAAGGATAGGGACTGAAGTAGTCGAACGCGTTGACAACTTCACTTATCTTGAAAGTCTGATCAGCCATAATGGGTTGGTGTCTGACGAAATCTCAGCACGGATTCAAAAAGCTCGTTTGGCTTATAACAACTTACGTCACCTATGACGAAGACGAGATACCGTCTATCAATTAAGGGATGAGTATACTGCGCAGCAGTTCGTTCTGTTCTACTTTACGGCTGTGAAACGTGGCCATAAAGAGAAGATACTCGTAGGTTACTAGTATTTGACCACAGATGTCTTAGAAATATTGCTCGCATCTGCTGGAATCACCGGGTAAGTAATAGTGAGGTTAGACGCAGGGTATTAGGGAATGATGGTAAATCAGTTGATGAGGTCATAAATCTTCATCGTCTGAGATGGTTGGGTAATGTGTTACGTATTCCTGAACACCGATTACCACGATGCGCTATGTTGACTAGTGTAGGGGATTGTTGGAAGAGAGTTAGGGGCGGCCAATCAAAACGTGGCATCAGAGGGTAAAGTCACTAATTTCTAGTCTGAACCATGTTGGTAGATGCAGACTACTTGGTTGGGGTCCGCGTGACTATCATAACCAATGGTTGAAGACTCTGTGTAACATGGCTCAGAATCGATCACAATGGCGTAGGTGTTTACACTCTTTGTCTTTCCTTAAACCGTGAGATTAAAATTGCTTCATATCTGTCTTTCTTCTCGTACTATATCCTTGTATACAATGTTTGTTTTATATGTTACCACCATTAAATTAACTACTTCTATGAATTCGGTGTTCATTTTTGTTGTGCTAATGAAGTATGGCAACTTAGACCGATGCATGTGTGCCTGGTCCTACGTTGTGTCTGACTGACTGAAGCATGTTCAATAAGTTCGATTAACTTCAGTGAAATCCAGCAATCATATGTTCGACTTCAGTTTGTACTGTTCTCTGCCAAAGTTAGTGGCATTACGGGGCTACGTACACCTCGGTAAACGAAAAACCGTTATAATCTAAAACTTAATAGGTAAAAGTCGAATGTATTATCCAACAACCAGCTGCTCGCGTGCTGAGCGTATTTGAAGACAATGGAGGTTGGTTCATACCAGTATGTGAACAAAGTATGTTCTATTAGAAGGAACACAACACTCGTATTCTTTGTGGAAAGCCTATATGGATTATATATATATATATATATATATATAGGCCGTTGAACTGGTGTCATAGGGTACCAGGTCCTATGATATATCGATTTACAAGTAGGTTGTTAAGTAGCAGTGATTATTGGGAAAGAGTTCCCTTCAATTTCACTTCAGTTAAGTGTGATTCATTTAATGTTTAATATTCGTTTGTCATCTTATTCTCTCACTTTTGTGAACTAGCCGTCTACATTGAAATCTCCTTATTTTAAACATCTCAGATTCCATTATGCTTTATCACGGTTTGTGTTAGTGTGTATTATGTCTGGGGAATATAAGCCGTTTTTTGGAGTCACTATCAAACAGTTATAGCTGTCAGCCTACAGTCAAAACTTCATTTTGATTCATACTAATAGTGCGTGTTTTTCATTTGAGTTATTGATTATGTGGATTCAGTATTTCTAAAAAATAAAGTATAAAGTTACTACAGAGGTTCGGTTAATTCGACAGGAAAACCATACGTAAGCCGTTTTTGTGTTTTTTTTAGTGCACCACTTTTATATATGACCAGAAATACAAGGATTTTAAATGATGGGCCTGTTATTCCATCTGACACAATACATAGAAAGACGTAATGCATCATTTACCTAGTAATTTGTGGTAGTCAGTCGGCTACAACGTAGGACCAGGCACACATGCATCGGTCTAAGTTGCCATACTTCATTAGCACAACAAAAATGAACACCGAATTCATAGAAGTAGTTAATTTAATGGTGGTAACATATAAAACAAACATTGTATACAAGGATATAGTACGAGAAGAAAGACAGATATGAAGCAATTTTAATCTCACGGTTTAAGGAAAGACAAAGAGTGTAAACACCTACGCCATTGTGATCGATTCTGAGCCATGTTACACAGAGTCTTCAACCATTGGTTATGATAGTCACGCGGACCCCAACCAAGTAGTCTGCATCTACCAACATGGTAAGGTATATATTGTTTCTGTAACTTTTACCTATGATTATATTTGAAAATTTCACCAGACGGAGAATGTGATATTTAGTTATTATCTTATAGTTATGGAACTTTTCCCCACTTCAATTTTCCTTGTTTGATGTTCAAGACTACAATTGATCAGTCTCTTTTGGGATATATGCATCCAGTACGGATTGCTTCGATATTTCTTTAATTCACTAGAATCGTAGGCAGAGATGAATGGTGGCTAGCGGTGAGATTCAGGACGCGCGTTTCGCTTTATTTTTGACTCTTCAACTGAGTGTCACTGCATCCTAGAGTTGCTCGCTTCGGGACTCGAACCCACTGCCGTTTGCTTCAAACGCCACTTCATTATCCTTTTTTCTAATGATTACAGATAGCCACTAGCTGACGAGTCCTAGATAGTAGAGCAAAACGCGTGTCTTGTATTCTGCTGCTAGCCATCATCTTTCTTCCCACTTATTCGGTTTAAGGAACGGAGAAGTTCAGTGGTCTCAGTAACCGGATCAGTGGGTTGCACATAAGTTTGGTTTAATTTAGCTATCATGATTTATGGTCTTGGCTGTAGTTTACGTCTTAGCATGTCATTTTTTTGTTTTCAGTGTGATATTCACATACTAAATGATTGATTAGCTTTATGTCTCCAACTGCTAAACTTAAAAGGACATTCTCCCTACTGGTGGGTTCGGATATAATTATAAAATTTCTTCTTCCTAATGGGATTATAATACCACTCACAGTAAGTTATCTCTGTAATTTTATATATATAGGAAATAAATCTATAATTTTCTGATTATCATATCCGTTTCAGTATGTGAGTAATTTTACATCGTTTATTTCACTTCTCGTTGGTTTGTTTGCATTATTAAAGGACTATGTTAAAAAAGCTATTTAATTTCAGTTGCCTAAGTATAGTGAACGAGATTGTGAAGGCTAATTTTATTGTTTAATACAAAATTACAGAACGTCTTCGTAAAATATGAAAACCATACATTAAATACTGCATTTATACACCTTCCATCAATTGTTTATTACACACTTCGTCGTTCCTTCATTCATGTTGCTACATTTACTCTTTCTTTACATTCCTTTTCTCTTCGATTTGATTTTATCAACCTGCTGCCAGGCATTCCACTTCTGATTGGTGTCATATACTACTTATATCTGCCAACATAAGTAGCATACACATAAGTACTAGTGAGTTTAGTTACATTTACCACTGAAGTTGTAATTATTATAGGGTCATTAAAATGATCATTACGCCAGATAGTTTGTCAGCTCGTAAATCCAATGGAATGCGTCAGCCAATTGTGAAGCAATTATTTGGAAAGTCTGTTTTTATTTTGGGATTTATGTATCAGAGTTCTAAATTTATAATACCTGTTGGACATTTTTAGCACCTACCTACTGACCACCATATAAATAGACCTCATAACTGTCTGTATTTTTATTGTACTGTTGTTTTTCATCGTTATGTTTTAAAAAACACCAGATTGATTGTGGATGATACTACTAATTTTTAAATAAATGAATGAGAAGCCAATTCTGTAGTTAAACTCTCGTTTTTGGCTAATAGAAGTTAAACATTCAATATAGTTGTAAATCATTGTTGACTAGGACCTTTAAGATGACTTTGTAGGTCAAAGGGACTTCGACTAAATTATTAACCCTATTACAAGAGCCTCTAAAAGTGGGATAAGTTTAGCTGCCTTACTCGAAGTCTCTACCTACTCTTTATAATAATTTTCATGGTAACTAGGCTGTTACAAAGGAGCTATGAAACAGTATGAATTAGTGTGTTTACATATTTTAGTCGGATTTAACTAAATTACGGGGTCAGTTAGTTTCGTCCCAAGCACCATTTAGGTTCATATATCCGAAGTTCGTCCTTACCCAGTGACTATACAAACAATCTAGTCGTTTAACTGGATTTATTCACATTTTTATACCAATCGAGCGTGTTTGTATTTTTCCTCCATTAATCTTTCCCAGTTGGCCTGTTTATTTTCTGACTATTCCATTTATGTGTAGTGTAACTTCACAAACTGATATATCATTACTATTCAGTCAATTATGTTTGTTTTTAGATGAATGTTCAATCGATATTATCTCATGTAAAAATAGTGTAATTATCGAATTTGTCTCACATGTCAAGATTTCAATATACTTAGAACTTGACAAATAAACCAAAATTGTATAACGATCATATTGTTTGTGTATACTTTTTCAGGTGAATTCAGAGTCAACATTAGAAGAAATCAAATTACAGCTTTGGATTTCCGCAGCGAAATTACCGTTATTTGATATATTACAATCAAAGAATGACTACATATTTGTTGGTGTCAACCGAGATACTGGTGACGAAGAAGAGTTTTATGATATAAATCGTCGACTTCATGAAATTCCACTTCTTTTACCTTACTTACGTGTTGTTGAAACTGCAAGAGATACTACCCTATTAAAAATCAGTAATCAGAATGCTGCAATCTCCAGGTGATTATTTTTGTGTTGAAAAATGGAAATTACATTTCCTATCAACTATCTGCTAGCTCGAATGTTTTTCTGGGACCTTTATCATTGAAGATAATAATTCTGCCGTCTTAAAACACATTGGTCATGTTTCACTCAATCTGGCTTATCGGCTTTCATATTGTGCATTATTTACTGACACTGGGAATGGACATGAAATCAAACAGGCATTTAGTTCATGATATGAGGTCAGGGAGCAAAGAACAGTTATATCGTCTAACACTTTACCTATTCATCACGGCTCTTTAGATGGGGATCCCAGAAGTTGTGTATCTCAACTGATGTAAACGTCAGGCATGACTGAGAATAAAATCCCAGTGTCAGTCATGCTGTAGTTTTATTTCGTGTTGTTTATAAGAAGTGGTTTTTAATGGTATGTGTTTTGTCTTTTTATTCAAAACGGTACCGTTTAACGTACTCATTAATTATGAAGCTTTCTTTCACTTATTTCTTCAAAACATTGTAATTTGTCTTTATTTAGCACTTTTCTGATCACTCTGCTGTGGCAATTTTTTATTTGTGCAATAATAATGGAATGTGTTTCTGGCTGGACATCCTACCATGGATAAATGTTGCCAACCGCTCAGTCGAGCATATTTCTCTGACCGTTTTTTTTCAGACCAAGTTCAATAATATTTGAAGAGAAAAATAAATCCGTCTAATTTCAAAGCTTTATCATCACCTATAATACATTCCTTAAAATATGCATAGAATTAGTTCAAGAGGGAATCAGAATTTTACTTCTATGATCAAATAGGAAAAAAAGGTTGATGTCTCACTAACGAATTAAACCATCATTTGAATTACGAATGATGAAACACAAATGTGACTACTTATAAGTAGTTGAAAGTACATTTCAGTGTAGTGTTGATGTTTTAACCTGATTATTCCTCTCGACAATTCTCATAACCTCTTATTTTGTTCGCGTTGAATAACAAATGTAGTATCCTGATTTGATTGTTCGTAATTAAAGAAATGGAAGAAATAAATATTAATATCACCCTTACATTTTAAATGCTGTCTCTTTCTTTTATGCCACTACACTACAGCAATGAGTTTTACCATCTATTAACATACTGATATTTAATTTGAATAATCACAAAACAAATGTTTCAAATATAATTTTTGTCTGAGTAGTTAGATTCAACTGATAAAAAACCATAAAAATAGTTCTCGCAATTGTTGGGTAAACCAAGTACAAAACATGGTAGCCAAGAATTCCAATTATCATTATATAAATGTGGATAGTTTACTAGTTTTAAGTTTACGTGCATTACAACTAAGCTTCTACTAACCCAAGGTGATGTAGTATTTCATTCAACTTAAATCCATGATTTATCCCTGGCGAAGTTTCAAAATACTTCAAGTTAGCAAGCATTCTTTTTTGTTGAAAGCGTGAGTCAATTGAAGCTAGACCACCATGGAAAATCTGGAAACACTGGACGGCCGTTTCGTCCTATTATGGGACTCCTCAGCAAGACAATTGGTGAATGGTTGCTCAACTTCGTGGAGCAGTTGAAGTTAGACATTAACACCGTTGGATGTCAGCTCAGTGGTCTATCGCTTAAGGGCTTCGGCTCGGGACTGGTAGGTCCTGGGTTCGAATCTCGCGAGAGCGGTTCGTGGATGCGCCCTGCTGAGGAGTCCCGTAGTAGGACGAAACGGCCGTCCAGTGTTTCCAGGTTTTCCATGGTGGTCTAGCTTCAATTGACTCACGCTTTCAATTATAATAAATACTAAATGTCCATATTAATTGTTGTTCATGGTATAAAATAAAAATTTTTGTGCAATGATCTACGATAAATCATTGCTTTTATGTATGTTATATCCCCTGGTGAATTATGAATGGTAAATCTGTGGTCTATTATCGACCAATGTATTATGCCTATTTCTTATTGTACAGTTGTTACGTAACTAAACTATTCATATTCGTGTTTCTCTTATCATTAGCTTTATTTTGATCTTTGATTTATGATCATACGATTCTTGAGTTATAATCAGTTTATCGATTACTTTGGTTTGTATAAAAACCCAGTATGTTTGTAAATAATGATTCATATTGTCGAGGCTGTTATTTGTGTTCTGGACTTAACGGGCTAGGCTAGGCATATAGCAAGACCGGTTAGCAATCAAGACTGCTCGTACGATTTCAAGTATCATTTGCGTCCGATAAATAAATTCACTCCTTCTCCAATTGCACGTTCTTATAAATTACGAGCCCATACGATATAACAATGTATATAAAACACCAAATAGTTTACGTATTGCTGGCATAGTTTAGTGTGACTTAGCAGCTAATTTGTCAGGTAAATTTCAAGTGATTACAAAGTTCAGTAATAATGGAAAGTTGATTAATTACTGTGACTCTAACAAATTTTGAATATCAAACGTAAGGGTTGTAAGTGAGTGCTTGCAATTTGCGGATCTCACCAGTTACATATTAATACGATTACTATAATATCCACATGCGCTAAATGTACCACTTAACCCCGATAAGTTGAGACTACTAATGGCACTGTCTGCACTTGTATTATACTCAGTAGTTGAATCGTTACTACAGCAATAGTAAAAATAAAAAGACTGATTATGACATTTAAAATATTTTAGAAAGAAAATAAAATACAAACAAAACTTTATATTGGGACATCGTGCAAAGATAGAGCTATGACTGCATTTTTGCCATACTGAGTTCGCATCATTCAGTAGAGGGGGCAGCACAGATAAGAAACCAATATCGAGTGTTTAACTATGAACAAAATTAGAAAAATCTGACAAACCTAAGATAGGAAAAGTAACATCCAAAAGTCTTTTCACGGAATCCAGCCAAAAATCAACGGCCTAATTGGTTGAGATACTAGATGAGTTGTGAAGTCAAGAATAAAACCCGAGAGAGAGAATAATATCGGTCATTGTTAATGTCATCTTGTTATAGGGTATAAGGATCATTTTGTAATGATCGTAGGTTGTCTTAACAATCTTCTAAATTCTAGGATTCATAATTACTCGATACCTGACTGGAGCCTGTGTGGAAATGTCTCGATCATATCACACTTCACTAGGTCCAGAAGTACAAGAGTACTTATTAATATTTTTAAATCTCCATTTCCTTTAACTTGAAGGTTTTAACTTGATCGCTCAAGAAGCGCTTGACAGTGTTTGGGTTTGAAATGAGTACCAAGAAAATCGGTTGACTACCGAAACTTTATTCAAAAGCATACAGTTTTGTAAGGGATTATGAAGAATTTTTATAGCTTTCTATTTATACTTTTTTTGTAAGAACTAATGATATTCAAACGGCCGCATCGACCGAAACAGTTGGACCGTGTTCCAAATATTCAACTTAAGTAATTGAAGGTCAAATGCTTTTCTCATCAACCCACAGCATGTGAATGGTAGTCGTGTTCCGCGAAGGCGCTAAGCAAATGGAAAGTCATATCATCACTTTGAAAAAAGATCAAGAGGTGACTAACAGGCATTAAGTGATGTTAAGTAGCCAGTCTAGATAAACACAAAGTTTAAAAATGAGCTGTTAATTAGCTGAGAGTGTATGGCAGCTTACTTACTGGAGTAGTTACGTTCTCCGTGATATGTTTTTTGATTTTTGAAAATTCTTTAATTCATCGCTGCATTATATAGTTTATAACTTTTACTTAATTTTTTTAATATTTCAGTTGTACAGGTATACCACATACAGATATCATACGTGCTTGTAGAACAAACCCTGAAGTAAAATGGGCACGATTACGTCTATTACGCGTCGCTAATATGCATACAAAAGCACTGAATCAAACCGGATCAGATGGTTTGATCCGTTACTTAACTTCAGCTAGTAAACGTGAATTAAGCCAGTCATTAAAAGTTCTTCTCCAAAAGCAAACACATCTTACAATAACAGCATGGGTATTAGATGGTAAAGACCCACCGGAAAAATGTCGTGTTGTCATCGAATTAGATAAGAAAGCTACTGTATTTAACGCTTTAAATGAAATTTTGCATGCACAAGCTGAACTGGCTAGACAAGATTGTCAAGTTAAAATGAGTTATGGTCTGCCAGAGGCATCAAATTACTTACTGAAAGTTTGTTGTTCGCAAGCTTATCTATTCGATTCGGACGAATTACTCATTCACTATGAATATATACAACAATGTATTGAACATTATCAACATCCTTGTTTAAGTCCAATATTAAAAAACGACATTAAACAAAGTTTGCATAACTGTCTTAATGAATATAATAAAAATCCTATTTATCAACTGAATCATGACAACGATAGTTGGATAATCTCTCCGAAATCCACTCTAAATACCTATGCCAGTAACTTTGATAAAAGCAACAATAATTTAATTGATTTATATGAACAGTTAGAAAATTTTTTAATCAATCACGATAAATTTGACAAATGTGAAACTGATGAATGCATAGACAACATTGACGACAATTTTATCGACTGTCGATCATTTGTTGATTCCAATAAAGACGATGATACATCAGCTTTTAACGACATTGATAGTCCTCACCCAGTCCTTTTATCTGAAAACTGTTCTTCAAAAAATGTCGAAGGTAGCCAAAAGAAATCAGAATCTCCAATGACACTCACTTCTGACCGTCAACAAAATGTATCTCTTTGGGAATTAAGTGGATTTTTGAGTATACAAGTTTGTTCAGCACAGTTTCTTGTCGAAAATATTGCAAATTTAAATTCTTCCTCAACAACCTCCCTCTCCTTATCAACAATTTCATCCTCTTCAATACATCAGTCAAATCCTAACTTAAATGTTGTACAACATACAAGCGTGAATGGTGGAGCTGCTTTAGATGGAAGTTATGTTGTACGAGTGGGAATATTTCATGGTAGTCAGTTTTTAATTGAATGTCAAGTAAGGTGATCATATATATATATATTTAATCGTTTTAAATTTTACTTTTCTAGGTTCTAATTATGAAATAAACATATTGTCATTCATTATCATCTTGATGGCATTTTCCTAGATTAAACGAAACGAATTATTGTTCGTTCTGCAAAAACATTGAATCAACATTAGTGTTTTGAACATTTTTCACAATCTACTAACTGTATGCTGTATCCAGGCGATGTGTTTTAACGTTTATTGACTTTCTTGTTGTTATGCTTCTCAGACCTGACTTTCGCATAGCCTTCTAATAACTACTGTATTGTGACACAATCTTGCTGCTGCTCCCTCCTCTAAACTGTTATTGGCGTTACTTTTTTTAGAACTGGAATATGTGTAAAATTTGTGTTATGATAGTCTCGTTAAATAGTTGTTTCATTGAACTATTTTAATCCAATGATTACACTCTGTATTAAGTTGCTACATTTTTCAACAAAACTAAAAAAACTGAATCAGGCATTTTTAAAGAACTGTGCTGAATTTGAGTATTGATAATCAACTCTGTTCAAAAGAAGAGGGACATAAATGTTCGGATTTACCGAAGTCATATAGTATTTTATTTGTATGCGAATATTTATTTTTTTTCTTAATTTCTTAAACTTACATTCTGTGGTATATGAACTTTTTGTGCAGACGGCTTGATATTACATGTATTTGCGTTCCAATTCTATCTGTTAATGACTATCAGTTATATGTTTCTCGAAAAGTATATTTAATTTCATCTTATTGGAATCCAGATTTACGTCTGTAAAACTGAATACATTTTTTCTTCACAATATTCCACTTTGTAAAGGAATGTTTGCAGCAGATATGATCAAATAAGAAGTGAGATGAGTATTAGTTAGCTTAACAGAATTAACTGTTTCACCATATCGCATAACTATTTGCTAAATTGCTAATGTAATTTAAATCGATCTTATTATAACGTAATAATTGTATCACCCATTAAATTATTTTGGGATCGTTGGAGATGATCAACTTCATAAAAATGAAAATCATTTTCAAACAAAACCCTTCATTACTTAGTACTTTATTCCGTTTTCCCAGTTTTTTATTGATAGTAGTGCGTGGTATCGTTTCTTTCATTACAATTTTTCTTAGTTTGGTAGTGTTTTCCCAACTAGTTTCATCATTCACTTCATAGATCTCTGAAGTGTACTAAGAGCTAGTTAGATCTATAAAGATCTCTTTCTAGTGATTTTGATAGGTTTTTACGTCAAAACATAATGTATGAGAATTTCGGAAATACAAACAGTTTCTTGACCTATTTATGGTTGTATTTCTACATGTGTTTGTGATTTTACCGACTCATAAACTTTATTAACCAACAATATTAAAACATTTGAACAACAGTCAACATATCCACTCATTGATGTATCACAAGTGTATTAAAAATTTTTTAATATTGATTGTAGAGCGGTTATGATCAGATCAGCAACTGTTGGGGTTTAAACGGGATTCATATTCCGTCCGTCTTAGATTTTATAACCAGGTAGTATAATAATCATTCTTCACACAAAATTATGCCTCGAATCCTGGCCAATAATTGTCTACTTTGTTACTGGTTTGCATCAACATTTATTTGGTATTAATGTCTAAGTATTTTCACTTAAGCTTATCTTTTGAAAAAATATAGGATTTTATGAAAGCGTATTTCACTTTGTTTTTTAGACAACTAAAGAAAGACCGGGAAACTACTTAACATGGCGTGAATGGCTTAATTTTCACATTCTGTTAGCTGATCTACCTATTGCTACACGCATCTGTGTAGCGCTTATACGAATTAGAAAAATTGTGGATCGAAAAAATGTGAGATTTGTAAGTTATACTAGTAAATAACTTATGTTGTCTCAATCAGAACTGAAACAAAAAATGTTTTGTAAAAGTGTCTTTCAATTGATGGTACTTTGAAGATTAAATGTGAAAAAAAGAACATTCTGTTTTGTTTTATATCATCTCAAAATATTGTAATAAAAAAAAGTGCACAGTATAAAATGATTGGAGTTATTTTTCTAAAATCTAATAGATAAAATAGGTGATTCTAAGTCAAAATTTGAAAAATTCCCATATTTTGATTTAGAACAACATATATAAGCAAACAATATTGTTTTCGATTAGATCCTTATCAGGCTTTACTCTAATATACAGTAATATTTATATGTATATACGAAACTATTAAACCAATCAAGGCAGTTTATGAATTAATGATAACAGTGGAATAGATTACATAATCAAAATTAATAATAAGTGAAAAGTACAAATTGATAGAGTAATGACAGGTATACTAGTTGTGATAAGCATAATAATAAAAGGCTTGAATCAATGTTACATAATAGGAAAATAGGTCGATGATTAGAAAAATATAGACTCTGAAATAACAATCATAGAAATTATAAGATTACGTAATAAGAAGTGTTCAAATAATTGGAAGCGAATATTAGAAAAATTATAAGTAAATAATTGATAGGGGGGTGAAGAAGAATAAACGAAGAAAGAGTATGGAAAATAAAATTATTTATTAAGGCCAAGGGAGGGATAAGGGTGTTACAAATTTCTTATGAACACAAAGACTTTGGTTGTTGGATCGAATTCCTATAGCTTCTGCTATGTGTAGGAGACGAGATCGAACCCCATAAGGAAAAGTAGTAGGGATACGATAAATAACTTTGAAAGACTGGTTTCTGTCAACTTCATGACCGCTATCAATCAAGTGTGAAAGAATCGAGCTCCGTATCGACTTGACCATACCTTTTCCTAACCACGAAGGGAGGTGTTCACTAACTCTTTGGTTCAGTTGTCTGGTAGTGCGCCCAATATAGCTTTCTCCACAGGAGCAGCTGAATGTATAGATACACATAGAAGTGGCATAACCAGGCAACTTATCCTTTAGTTGGGGAATCACTATAGATCGTGTCGAGTAAGAAAGAAAGAGGTCGGTTGCATTAAACGTTCTCTTAACTGCTTTAGTCAGTCTATCCCGTAGTACATCTTCAGCTAAATTGCCGTTGAATTGTAGTTTCAGGAAGAGTGGTTTCTTCGCAGCTGTTGATATCTTTATTGTCTTATTTGTTAAATGCAAATGTTTCTTCAGGAATCCTTGTGGATAACCCCTTTCAATCAACATATTATGGATAACCTCTAACTCATTGTTGATAGAATCGACTGAGCAAATCTTCCTAGCTCTATTTGCCAGACATTTGACTAAGTTCCTTTTATAGTAGATAGGTACGAAGCTTAAGAAGTGTGTGTACTGGCTAGATGAAGAGCTTTTCCTAAACACACTTCTACTGATGGGACCGTTCGCTTTTTTTATTAGCAATACGTCAAGGAAATTTAATTTATTATCTATTTCCCCTTCACATGTGAATTTAATAAATTATATATTATTAATATTAATAAATTATTAATATATTATTTCTAATCATTGACCTATTTTCCTATTATGTAACATTGATTCAAGCCTTTTATTATTATGCTTATCACAACTAGTATACCTGTCATTACTCTATCAATTTGTACTTTTCACTTATTATTAATTTTGATTATGTAATCTATTCCACTGTTATCATTGACTCATAAACTGCCTTGATTGGTTTAATAATTTCGTATATACATATAAATATTACTGTATATTAGAGTAAAGCCTGATGAGGATCTAATCGAAAACAAGATTCTAAGTCAATAAAGTTAGTTTGCTGAGATTAGTAAGATACATAAGTTAGTGTTCGTGAAATGTATTGGTATATGAAATGGAAATTTTTCCTTTTCACATTTGGATTAATATGGTTATATGATTTTCATAATCTTATTTGGAAGTCTATTCTGCATTTAAACAGATCAAAATTAGTTATTAAATCATTTTTTGATTGTAATGTCAGTTTAGTTCAAAGTGTATTTCTTCAGAACAATTAGTTTCTGTAGCCATGAAATAGGTGTCATCCAATGTTCTAACAGTTCAATGTGACACAAGGTCCTGTAAGAGCAATTGTATTTACTGTCGATTTGTATGTTGTTAATGTAGTCAGTTCTTTTCCTCATATCATTCTACTCGATCATATCAGTTCAATACTGTTAACCTTGTCTTGAAAAGATCCAGGGCTTGTATACATTGGTCTCTGAATGTCTGTTGATATCATATAGGGAAGGGAATGGTTAATCAAGTCTTCGAGAGCGAGGTCGAGTAGCTCTTCAGTCTATATGATTGTTTAGACTGCTTAAAATTGTGCCCTCAAATATATTATATTATTCAATCAGTATGGTACAACTTCGCAGCGTATTGGTACAAACATTTATGTTTTTTACAGTTAGTTTTTGTTGGAAATCAAATATATTTCCAGCTATCAATATATAAAACTGAACTTTAAATACATTTCTATAATTTTTGTATAATATTTTTCATTTGATTTTAGTGTGAATACCTATATGGCTGGGGTAATGTCAGTTTATTTGATCACAATGATTTCATGATCACGGGTGAAATCACTTTAAATTTATGGCCACCCTCTTTAGTTCAGACGGCGGATGAAAGTCTTCATCCTTGTGGCACTGTACTTGGTAACCCCAATCCTGAATTCTCAGTACAGGTAAATATTATTCTATTTATATTTTATTCATTTACTCAGTGTTTTCAGGGAATCAACATGAAGTTGTATGTTATGCATTTATTGTCAGTTTCGTCGGCAGGAATAATTTTTCATCTTAAAGTCTAATCCATATCACTGAATTGCAAATTGAAAATATTCTTAACTTGTTCTATTTTATCATAACTGTTTTATACAAACAAATGGCTTCATAGAACTTGGTTACTGTATGCAGATTTTAAATCCATTGTATAAGTACAACTATGCTTAACTTCTAATCTTTTAATATGTAAACATGACTACATACATTAAAGTAATTTATTCACCAGGTGCTTGGATATGAGCCACACTCCAGTTGTGAGGGGTACTGATATCATCCGGTTACCAAAACCAAAGTAGGTAAGTCGGGGTTCGAAACTAGGACTTAGCGACTAAAATCCGGACGTCTTAATCCCAAGACTAAATAATTGTTAAGTGTCTGGAAACAGTTGGGCCTACGGTGATTTTCAATTATGGACTATCAATATTGTTCTAATACGAACGGGACCTATTAAGCACTCGATAATATAGGAACTGACATGCACAAAGATTTAACAGTAATTTAACTGCAACTGGTCAGTCTCTTATTGGCATATTTGCTTACTGTGCGTATTGCCTCGATATAGCCTTAGTTCACAATTATTGAAGCGAAAGATACTGGGTTAGAGTCCCAGAGTGAACATCAACTTTAAGATGCATGTACATTCAGCTGACGAGTCCCAAATAGGACGAAACGCGCGTCAAACTGGATTCCACTGCTAGCCACTATCCATCTTTGCTTATAAATACAGTAGTTTACATTTATTCTAGATACTTGTTCTCGATGCTCATTATCAACATTTTGATTTGTCTATTTAATTCTACAAAAAATGTTGATTATAGATTTAATTGTCTTTTGCATAACTAAGGGCGTGTCTTTTCATTTATAATTAAATTCAATAAATCATTTAATACATTTGACGTTACATTAAGATTAGTTAAAGTATACATTTATGGTGTGTTTTTATGTATGTATGTATGTATGTATGTATATACATATATTTATGTGTAAATAGAGTTGTTCATAAAATCAATCATCTAACTCATGTATTTGTGAAATTTTCAATAATTATGGTGTTACTCAGTTACAAGAAAAGAAAAAAGCAAATTATGTCGTGTATGTATTAGTTGCTAACTATCTCTTGTTTTTTGTTATTATAAGCAAATAAAAAGAGTATTATAGATATACATTAATAATATTACATATTACTATATAGACTTCTTCCATGTTTTGTTATTCTAAAACTAAGTCAAATATTGAATGTTTCTGTGAACCTGGTTATTACATGAACAGAAGGGGTTTTTTGTGAAGATTTAGTATTTTCATAGTTGGAAGCGTGAGTCAATTGAAGCTAGATCACCAGGGAAAACCTGGAAGCACTGGACAGCTGTTTCGTCCTATTGTGGAACTCCTCCTCGAGAGGTAAATCTAGGAGTTCTAGTGAGAAGCAGTGACCAGTGGAGTTCAAACCATGTCTGTTGTGAGATAGGAACTCACTAAAGACAACTGGTGAACGGTTGCTCAACTTCGTTGATTGGTTGAAGTTAGATATAAACACCATCGGATGCCGGCTCAGTGGTCTATCGGTTAAGTGCTCTGGCGCGAGACCGGTAGGTCCTGATTTCGAATCTCGCCAGGCGACGTCGTGGATATGCACTGTTGAGGAGTCCCACAATAGGACGAAACGACCGTCCAGTGCTTACAGGTTTTCCATGGTGGTCCAGCTTCAATTGACTCACGCTTAATTGGTGCTGTTTTTTCCAGTAATTTGGCACTGTTAACATTTGATTGTAAACCTACCTCATTAACTTAATTGATAGTCAATAACAAATACAGTAAATAGCTTCAATAATAAATATTTTAAAATCCTATAGGTTGCATAAATCTAAACCTGAAAACTTAGGTGTTTTTATGTTTTGTTTTGTTGTTTTGAGTTGTTTTCATGGTAATCATATTTCTGTCCTCTCCACCAATTACGACTAGACTTGAAACAAAATTTCAGACTTTCTTTTGTTGTCCCCTGATTGATAAGCTAGTATGAATTTTCTGTTTTACTTCTTTTCTGTTTAGGCTGAAAATTTATCGCATGATTTGACTTACAACGATGTGAACACTTGTAGTGTTCTTTTTTTTGCATTAAATGGGTTCTAATGAGGTTGTTTGTTTTATGCGTTGTTGCGGCTAATTTAACATGTGTGATGTAGACTTAGTTAGATATCGTGAAACCAAAATTTACGATTTTGAACTTAAAGTTGAAGAATTCTCAAAAAGTTTTGACTACAAAGCTATGACTGAATTTTAATTGCCAATGACTTCAAGACTTTCCACAGACTCTGTCATACATATACATGAATATTGTCGTTTATGACGAATCCTTTGTGAAGTGTATTTGGTTCTGAGTTAATAATTTGTAAGTGGTGTTCAGATTTCAATTGGTTTATAAGTATTTTATTAAGTTTTATTTATAATTGAAATCATGGTCATTTCCACTCATTCAATGTAACTCACATTCTAACTATCGCTTTTTATCCGGAAGTTAATTCATGATTTTATGAACGAATTTTCGACTTCTCTAATGAAAAAGAATGCTGATTGGTAGTTTATATGTAATTTTAAGATGTGGTCACTTGATGGTTGCTCACGCGATTTAATGACCCTTATAGAACTGATATAAGAAGATCAGACAACTGGTCAGTGGAATAGGTTTATTTGCTTGACAAAATAGCACGCTTATATATAAAATATTGGACACAAGAATAATAATTATTTGCGACTGTGAGGTTCTATACGTTCGAGTGCTGTTATTTGTATATCGTATTCTTCTGTAATCAAGTAGATGATGTAAAAAGTAAAAGACCTAACCGTTAGGGTTTCCCCACCCTATCACTTCATCTCACAACTGTCACAATTACTGACGTGGTTCGGCCGTTTCCTAGTGTTCAATTAATCTGGAGTCTCCAGCATTTTCCTGTTCATTTGATGAGTTAATGCTGGATATGAGAGTGCGATTTCCAACGGAGGTTTTATTTCAAGCCTTAAATTCCACTATATTTGTGTTTTCCATCTTACATTTTATGATATGCTACAGTGACATGTTCACAGGAGTCTGGTATGAATAGCTTTTGATGGTAAAATGAAATTTTTTGTGATAATTGTCTCTTATATGTAGTAGTCACTCGCTAAATGAACTGAAAAATCCCCGGAAATCTGGGATGCTGCGTACTTATTAGGCACTGAAAAACGACCGAGTAACCTCAGTTCAAACAGCGTTTTGAATAGAAGCTTACCACTATTCTGTATCGTTTGAGACATCATGATTAAAATGAAGAGATGGATACCAACAAATATCGTAAGCATAAAAGTGGAAATTGTATTTGTAATGATTCTAGTGATCTCCCAAGTGGGCTGGTCCAGGCATCTAGCAAATAATCAAAGATCACAATTACCGATAATTGGAGTTATTTTATTTTTACTCACTGAAAGTTTCACAAGCACAATTTCCTTTTCAACGTCGTCCATAAATTCAGGGCCCAACTATTGTGAAACTATTTGTTGAAGTCTAGACTTTACAAAATTATTATAAACAACTGGGTTTCGCATATGACATTACTGTTTTCCACATCTAAAGCGGACTGATGTAAACGGAGCGAAACGAAATCTCCTAGTTGCAAATATTCGAATGGATTAACTCTATATCTGTAGTTAGTCGTACTTGGAGTAAAGCCAGTATATTCCATCCATTCTTATTGAAAATGTTGGTGTAGATTGTCAGATCAGCTCAACAACCGGTATGATTGTACTACGTGTATTGGAGCTAAAAGCGCTACATAATACACATACTTCAGTGAAAGTGAGCGATCAAGAGTAATATTAAAATGGACATATTTATTGTTCAGGCAACTATTTACACAACTAGACACTGTATCTGATAGTGTGTTCCATTCTAGACATAACACGTGACTATGCTCACGTCCCATCTCAAGGTCGAATAGTATGTGAGAGATTATAATTAAGGTATTCTTTCGAAAGAAGCTAATCATACACCTCAAGGTTTCGTTCCACATATACTTGTCTGGGTCAGAAGGACAGATTCATTTGTACTTATGGTTTGTGTGCACTTGATGTGATTATTCATATAATTATGAATACGAATGTACAACTTAAGTAAATGATTTCGTGGAAAAGAAAATTTTCCTCACTGGATTCTCTTAAGAGTTAACACATCAAGAAATACTGACCAAAACTTCTTTGTGTGGCCATGTTCAATCAGTTGTTCCTTGGTTCCAAGTGTTACACTCAGATTGATAATGACCACCCCTAACCCGATTTCCTTTTCAGGTCCTTCAAAACAACTATTATTTTATGGTAGGAATAACTGGGTAGTGACACTTGTCCTCATACTCCTTTTAACTGATGCGGCCCTTCAATACAGGCTGATGTGTATAAAGTATTAGTTTATCCGTCGTTTAACGAAAGGGGGAACTTTTTGCTATGATTACAATTTTGACATTCTTTTCACTAGCTACATTTTTCGATATTAGAGTTATTTTCGTTTTCGTCCAGATTTCTAGTATAAAACTCATCAAATATACTTGTTAGTAGGTGGTGTATAAAAGGTTTGGAATGCTGTTGGGTACCAAACATTATGACGGGTTAAGTGACTTCAGACATTCCAAATAAATCGTAGCACACAACTTTTCCTCAAAATCTGAAATGTAGGAGATATAACATCAGATCCTCGACGTGTAAAACACTTATTAAAAGTACAGGATACCTTTTGCAAGTCATCGCCAATATGTTTCATGCTTGTAAGCTTTTTATAGTTTTCATACATATTTGGAGAATTGTTACGAGTTTTCGAGCATACATTAAATGTAAATGTTTCATTTCCTTACTCATCGATCAATTTAGCATAAAAACTTCATCAGAATCCCTTTTGTAAACTCTTTAATTTTGATTAAATTAACTTAATTATATTAGTTCTTGATCAAGTTATTGTTTATCCAAAATTCATTTATTAATTGATATAAATAGATCTCTAACTGTACCAAGATATGACAGAGATCCATTTTTGTGTGATAAATAAATCTACATCTCTGCCCATCTTCTCTCGTAACTTAAAACGTATCATATATGTCTATAGGTAATCATGGAAAACTCAGTCACGAGTAAAATTCATTATTAAACAGCAGTTACCACCAGTTCACAAAAGGAAACTTTTTCTCTAACATCATGTGTTTGCGTCAGTTTAATCACTTGAGGTTCTTCCGTTAACACTGATTCATAATACAAGCTTCTATGATGCTTTTTAAAACACACAATGTCGTACTAGTTGTGGTTATTGTAAATAAGCTTATTACTCACTTTTCTTTACTTTGCTCTTCTTTTTTGCAGATCAAAATTCATAATCCAACTCAGGGTCGTATTCGTCGACCAACAGTGAATTGTTTTATCAATGCATATCATACAAAAAAATTTCATTCCTCTTCATCCCAATCCTATTCAGATAGTCATTCATTAAAATTACGCAATGATAGTTATGCTAAGAGTACAAAAGTAGATTATTCATTTTGCACAAGTGAACTAGAAGGTGATGTGGATACTTGTTTAGACATAGAATCAAATAATAATTTAACAACAATTCATAATAATGCTTATGTAGGAGATATATCATTAGAATTTGTATCTAATATGTCTTTTCAGAATAACACTATTACTTCATCAGTAACAAATTTAACCAATAAAATATTAGAATCAAGATTACGTGAAATAGTTAGTCGTGATCCATTATATGAATTATGTGAACAAGAAAAAGATTATTTATGGCGTGGTCGTTACTGGTGTCTAAATAATTTACCTTCAGCATTACCATGGATATGTCAAGTTGTTAATTGGTGTGGTCGTGAAACGTTAGCAGAATTCTACACTCTTATACATCAATGGCCACAACCATTTAGTGTTGACATAGCTTTACGTTTACTTGGCGCATTCGATTTAACAAGAAGTAATTCAAATCTTATTGATTTACCAAATGGAATAAAAGTTGGAGCAAGTGGAATAGCTGATTCATATTTACGTGAATTAGCTGTAAATAGTTTGTATAATCTTAGTGATGCTGAATTGAGTGATTATCTGTTACAACTGGTTCAGGTAAGATACAGATTATGTGTTTGTTTTATGTTCATTATTGTTATGTTCTTCTACTGTTTGGCATCCCTTGAACATCATACTTCACTCGACTTTTCTCAAATCAGCGAGAATTGAGATCAAATAATTCGTACTTTCAACAACCCAAACAACAAAGATCCATTAGTAAAACCATTAGAGTTTACTCGTGAATCTTCTAGCATCTTTACTAGTTCACTAGCGTTAAATGGTTTGATGCCGGCTCAGTGATCTAGAGGTGGTTAGGCGTTCGCGCACGAGATTTAAGGTTCTGAGTTTGAGTACCGCCTGCGGGATCATGGATGGAAGCTGATGTGGAGTGCCATACTAGGACAAAACGGTCATCCAGTACTTCTAGGTTTTCAATGGTGATCTATATTGGATCGGTTCACTATTTCAACGAAATTCAACGATCTCCACACTCATATACCGAAAATAACAAAAGGCGTTTCATGACTATACATTATGAACAAACTTGTTTTTAAAACTAATGGTATAAGTTTGATTCCTCTATATGAACCTGAATCATGTAAATTCTTAACCACGTTATTAATTTTAAAATGTTTGGAAACATTCACGTTTCTACAATTGTTTTTGGTTTTAGACCGTAACATGTTTAAATATTCTCAATTATATATACCATTTTTTTTAATAATCTAACTACAGTTCCCTTTTGTTGTGGAACCTTCATATCAACATCATAAAACTATGTGGATTTTTAAGCTTTTTTATATATTAGGAATTCTCTCCGAAAAATGGAAAACTCAACTGTAGATGTGTTATATCCTAGAATTCGTATTTTATTTTTCAGTATACAATTTGCATAAAGTCCCTCGACTGTTCTATGTATTCAACATCCGGAATCAGTAGTGTCAGCATTTCACTAACCTTACAATTTGAAGATCTACTACTTTAATATATATATATATATATATATATATATATATATATATATATATATATATATATATATATATATATATATCAACAGTCTGTTATATACTACCAAGCTAAAAATTCAAGTCAAACAATTCAATATTGCATCTTCGATGATAATTTGTTGTCAGTATGAGGCTTGCACCTGTGAGCCAAGTGTATAGAATCAGAAGATCGTCCGTCATAATCAGCGTAGAATCTGGCACACATACTCATAGACCGAGGTTGTCACATATCTAGTTTATGAGAGTCGTATTGTACAAATTTATCTTAATCCCAATGTCAGTAGGAATGGCCTCATTCAACGAATAAAATATATAACTTAGTAATCTACCAGCTTTTGTTTGATTATCGACTTTAAAAGCAGCAAGAAACACTTTCTTAGCTTGCGTATATCTTGTCTAGACTCATCTTATAATATTTCAATTTTTACTGACTCTGAGGATAACTAACAATAGTGTATAACTGGTAGTTTAATAATTCAACTTTTTGAAATGAAGGATGATGTTGTAATGTTTGTCATCTGTTACAAATGATGGTTGTGATATTTATTTAGTGCTCTTATATCTGAAACCCATTATTTGTATTATGAAGGGAAAATATAGCTTGGTATTTTTCCTAAAACTAAAAATGGTATACAAATAAGATAATTTTTCAGTGCTCATCGAAAATGCAGAAGGAAATACCTGCTGGAAATCAGAAAGTACTGCAATTTTTAGATCATAGCTGAAATTATACTTTATTTGGAATTAAACTTAAATTTCTTCAGTGCAGGATCAAACACGTTGTCGCCTAATTTAATATTCCAATCTTAGTTTATATTGCTTTTTAGAATTTAAGTAAATACTTATTTTGTGTGAGGCATATGTGTATCCTTTTATTTATTATTTAGGCCCTTAAAGCTGAAACCTATTTGGACAATGCATTAACTCGTTTTATCTTATATCGTGCTTTAAAAAATCCTCTACAAATTGGTTTACGATTGTTTTGGCATTTACGTTCTGAACTTCATTTGCCAGATATGCGCCTTCGATTCAGTCTAATATTAGAAGCATTTTGTCGAGGTTGTGGACCAATGTTAGTATTACTTTCTCGTCAAGTAACTGCTCTTAATCGTTTAGAAGCGTTAAGTACACGTTTAAAAGAATTGACTAGTGAAGAAGAACAACGTGAACTATTCCGTGAAGAGATATCTCGAACAGAAACCCAACATGATCTTCAATGGTTACCATCTCCGTTATGCTTAAGTGAAATCTTGGGTGAATTATTAATTCACAAATGCGATGTTAAGCGATCTAAAAAAAAACCATTATGGCTTGTATGGACAAATCCTGATAGACTGGCACAATTTCATCATCAAAACTATCAACTGATATTTAAACACGGTGATGATCTCCGTCAAGATATGCTGACACTTCAGTTACTCAAAGTATGTTTACACTCATTTTACGTGTACACAGTTTATCGTACGTGCTTTTTGTAGTAAGCGGGTTTCCCGTATGCTACGTTCAGTTTTTACCTTGGTTCACCATTTTCGTAACTCATATTTAATCCCAGTTAACATATATATCCAACACTTGCATTTCATATGTATCCATTTTCTGAATCCTGAATTCGAAAAGTCTAAGTACAAAGTTTATGGAAGATACATATATTTCAAGCATCCATAAATAAACATACAGTACGTGAATATTGGAATAGACTTTTAACCAGTTCCAATGAACTAAAAGTGACTCAATTTTTTAGTCACATTCTAAAATTTCTCATCAACGGGGGGGGGGTAGGGAATCAGAACCGCCGTGCAATAATTGTCAACCGTTCCATCCGAGTTTTGGCAAAAATTTTAGCCTCTGAAAACCGTAGACATCAATTCTATTCAACTGCCCTCCTTTACCCCTATCTGTGAATGTATATCGAGATAAAAAGTTTGTTTGCATTTTTTTCAATCGTGTAGAAAGGGAACTGAAGTCACGAAGTGTCGCGACAAGAGAAATATATATATCATCAAAAGAAAGTTTGGGAAGAACTGATAAACATTTTTAGTAGTTGATAATAATTATTACTGAACTTTAAAGCTAAACGTTTAATGTGTACAAGCAGTAAGCTGATTTTCATTGTAGTATTTCCGTCATTTATTTTAACACAGAGTTTAATCTTGTAATAATCGTTATGTGCGTGTAAACATATGAATAAATCATCGTGATAAGATAATGAATAGGGTATGTATTAATCATGCTAAACGTAAAGGATCGGCGAATGATGAATAAACTTACTCTTTCCTAATAATTTCTGAGAAAGCCAATAATATTAATGATTGGATGATTTTGCCACCAGTAATTCCTAATACAAAAGAGTTGTTTAGTTTCTCTTTGAAAAGAGTTTCGTTAATAAACACTAGATTGTAATTGCCTTATTTTGCAAATCCTTACTTACGCCATCTGTTATATCTATTGCGTGAGTTCTTGCCCAGTTGATATATATGAACTTGCTGATTCCCGCCAATGAGAGAGGAGTGGATTATCGATCAGAGGAATGATGCACAAAAGCCGTATGAGCAGTCTTGAGCATTACTCGGTCCTGCTATCTGCCTAGCCCAGCCAGTTAAATCCAGAACACCAATAACAGTCTCTGCAATATGAATAATTATTCTCAAACATACTGGGTTTATCTACCAAAAAAACTGACCACATCGTACCATAAAATAGAAAATAACATTTGTAGAAGATTTAGCCAAATGTGGCTGCGAATAGGGGGAACAGTAATTAATAGACTAGGGATAACTCAAGAATGGTAAATCGTACAATAATAGTCTATAGGTTGAAATAAAGCTTATAATAAGAGGGACACGAATATGGATACTTTAGCTACTTAACAATTATACAATAGGAAATATACATATCACATTGGTCCATAAAAAGTCCTAAATTTACCATCCATAAATCGCTCCGGAATATAACACCATTCTGTAGAAAAAAAATCTTGCTAGAAAAATGCCAACCAGATTTTGCAAATCCATTAAAAGTAAAAATTGTTTCTAACTATACATTGTGTATTCTATGTAATTGAGCAGTTTTTAATTAAAATAAAAAAGCTTCTCTATGTATGCAGTAATTTAAAACAGTCATTGTGTTTGGTAAGTGTGCGGTAGGTTTTTTTCACGTAATGTCAATAGCAAATGTTTTTAAAATATTCAGTTTGACCAAATCATTAACCTAATTTTTTAATGTCATTTGTAAATAAGATCGCATACGTTATTTATTAATAACATCTGGAATCATTTTTCAAATCATTCATTTTATTTGTTAAACACATTAGAAGGATCATTATCAGAAAGGGGGTTTTGTGGAGATTTTTAGCAATTTTATATAGTTGAGATCATGAGTCAATTGAAGCTAGACCACCATGGAGCCTCCAAGTGCCCTGGTACGGTCGAGAGTGGGGAGAGTCCGTTCTCCCTCTCCAAATGCTCTTACATGGCCACGCGTATATAGCCTCTGCCAGGGAAGTCCTGCTCACTGCCTTCTCGTGGTGGGGGTATTGTTTACGGAATTGGGAGGATGAAAAGCGAGTATCCGGCGCGTTAACCGGGTTGGTGGACACGGAAAGTCCATCTAGGAGAGTTGGAAAACCTTGATTCCACACCAATAGTGCACATGGACTCCAGGATCCTGAAGGAACAAATGGCGTATGAATGAATCGTTGGTCACCGGCTACCATGGGACTGCATCTCCTTACGATGCTCCACTGCCTTGTGGATCAGACCTTCAGGTCAAAGGCTCTGGGTGTGGTCCCCTAAGAAAACCACCTGCTTCAGTTTGGGCACCTGGGCGGTATCACAGCCCTCACACAAATCAAATGAGATTTGTGTGGCACATACAGATCTGGTTCTCCTTTGTATCAATATTTATGTGTTTAAATAATAAAAATAAATAAAAGACTGCCATGGAAATCCTGGAAACACTGGACGGCCGTTTCGTCCTATTGTGGGACTCCTCAACAGTGCGCATCCATGATCCCACCTCGCGAGATTCGAAGGACACTAAAACATTCTACGTACACATTCGTAATATTTGAATATGTTAATAATAAACCCGAAACATCTAAACGTTACAAGAATAATTACTTTTGATTAGTAATTGAAATATTAGTCAATATTAAGCGTAAATTTACAGGCCTATGTTTGACATAATAAATTTTTATGTCGATTATACTGCTAAATAAGAATAAGGTCAACTATATCAATTGACATTTAGTAACGTTTTAATTTCGATATAATAAAAAGAAAAGCTTACATTTATCTAGCTAAACAATGTAAAAAAAACAAACATTGAAACATTCTTATTAAATTTTGCATGTACTATTGTTTAAACACTCACTTAGTATTGTTTGTTTGAATCTTCCCATCGATGTGTTTAGGACTGCAACTGGTCAGTCTCTAATTGGCATATGTGCATACTGTGCGTATTGCCTCGATATACCTTAATTCACAAGTATGGTAAGCAGAGATGGATAGTGGCTAGCAGTGGAATCCAGCTTGACGCGCGTTTCGTTCTATTTGGGACTCGTCAGCTGGATGTACCTGAATCTCAGAGTTGATGTTCACTCTGGGACTCGAACCCAGTACCTTTGGCTTCAAACGCCATCGCGTTATCCACTCGGCCACTGAGTCCTGATAGCCACTTGCTTGTGCGATGGGGTGAAGTTTGAATTCACTTAGTATTGTTTGTTTGAATCTTCCCATCGATGTGTTTAGGACGGAAACTGGTCAGTTTCAGTGTTTATTAGATGATATAGACATTTGAAAAAAAAAAATCATAAATAGCATTGCTTATATATGAGCGTTAATCACATTATCATGATTAATTTCAAATGATTATCCAGCTTCATCATTATGGTTTGATTATAATTCATCAATATTAGTTCATTTGACCTTTTCCATAGAAATGATGTACCATCAGTGAATTGAACTTAGTATTTAATTTCCAACTTATAGTATAATAAATCAACGTTAATGATAACTTAATTTTATTCGTACTAATTTTTAGTAAACACTTAAAGGTCAAAAAAACCTTTTTATCAGTACTGACTGAATTGTTTTACGTAAGAAATGAGTTCAAAATGATTAGTTCATTTAATTCACAGTTAACATAATACCATATGTTAAGATAATAGATATTGGCTAAAAAAAAGAGAATTCAGCGAAGAAAATTTTCTTTTCGATGAAATCATTTACTTAAGCTGTACATTCGTATATATAGTAATATGGAAAATATATGTCTATAGGAGGCTAGAAAAGATTGCATTATAAATGGATTCGACAATAAATAACAAATGAGGTGACGTACTAATCAAGGGGTAAGGAAGAAAATAATTTATGGGTCAGATAATAGTTCAATTAACAGATATGAAGAAGAGCGACAAACACAAAGGTCATAATAATAATAATCTGAGTAATAATCAAGAAAACTTGTATAAGGTAATAATAATAATAACTGATTAGAGATTAAATGTAAAGTAGTAATTAAAAATAAAAAAAAACCGATAATAATCAGATAAAAGTACAAAAAACAAAAAACCAAAAAACGTACCCAATGAGGGAATTAGGGCCAAGGAAGGGTAAGAGGTTGGACAAATCGTTTCTGCACGCAAAGTTCAGGCTTGAATTCATGGATTGCCAATGCCTCAGCAGTGCATAAAATATTGATTCGACCTCCCTTTGATCCGGTTCCTTTAACTCTATAGATTATTTTAAAAGACGTCTCTTTTGGAGCAATGTGTCCGCAATTGATCAAGTGCTCTTGTATCGAACTGGTTATCTTCTTACATTCACCTTTTAGGAGCCAAGCTGGATAGTGTTCAGAGATACGTTTGGAAAGCGATCGCTTTGTGCGGCCTATATAACGTGCTCCACATGAGCAAGTAAATTTATAAATACACATCGATGTGGCCCAAAGCGAAAGCTTATCCTTAACACACACCCGAATGGTAGGCCGGCTAGAGAAAACGATTCGGAGCTTGGCTGTGTAGAAAGTTTTATTCAACGTTTTTGAAATCCGTTTATTCAGGATTTCAGCAGCCGTGTCTCCCTTGAATTCCATATTCATAAACAAGGTTTTCTTCTGCACCGTCAAAGTTATTTGTTGCTGACGTCTAGATGTTAAGTTGCTATCAACGAACCTCGGTGGATAACCATTTTTGATGAGGGTCTGTCGAAGATGAAGTAATTCTTCATTTATTGTGTCACTAGAACAGATTCGCTTAATCCTAGATGATAAAGAGTGAATTAAGTTCCTCTTTCGACTCAATGGAACCCAACTATGGAAATTCGTGTATTGTCCATTCCAAGTGGGTTTTCTATACATAGATCTTTGTAAATAACCATCAGGCAATCTTTTCAAATGGACATCAAGAAAATGGAATTCGTGGTTC